AGGGATAATAGAAGAAAAACAGTCCAAGTGATTGGCATACCATAAGTTGGAAATACCACCATTCGAGGTTTTTAGAGGGTAAAGTACTCAGGAACCACGTCATACTTAAAGGTGGATAACAGGAATGATCATCAAAGAAGACTTGCTTAAAAAGCTGTAATAAATGCAATGGCCATTTGCTTAATGGAACAAGTGATCCTTGATGAACCATTGTGCAAAAGGATCAGCAGATCATCTAGAACTATTATCAAAATCCTGTTGTCGTTACCTCTGTTCCCATTGTGTTTCTGTGCCATGTTATAGGAACTATCATGATACCACTATCCCAATTATGTTGATGTTGAGATTCTTAACTGGGCTAATCTTAAATGCTCAATTTTATTTTATACCCTATAGATACCAATTTTGATTTCATCCCAGTCTCACATACTTTTAGATAAGTTCAGTACAGTTTGCACAACATTATAGTGATTGAAAAATATTCTGTAACTTATGTTTGCTACACTTTTTAAAATTATTAAAAAATATTATTTGATGTAACACATGATAAATATGAATGACAGGCAGAACGTTATCTGTTTTTTATAAGCTTGATATACATGGCACAAGTAGAAAAATGCCAAGAGAATTAGAAAATTTTCCAGTAGAACAGTTTTCAGAAGATATCCAAGGCACAAATAGTACTAAACTATGTTATTCTAAAACAGTTGAGTTATACCAAACAGAATAAAACTACTTCATGGAAGATGAAATTACTTTGCATTGAAGTAGGCAAAGTATGACAACTTAAAAAAGATAGTACCTCATGTCTTCGAGAACATTTGTATATAGGTGATCCTGGCTTAGCCATAAAATCACCCTCTTGACCACCGATAACTAGCAGTTGATCATTAGCAACAACACATGCCCTGATGGCAGAATATAATAAACCATGAGAAATAGAAAAATACATTTTCATTATTCTATCTTCAATGAATTACAAACTGACTTATTCTGCAAAGGCCATTTACTATCTCTACAAGTGTCATAGAAGTGCAAAGTTATTTTTAATATAATAAAGGTAGCCATCACAAAGAATAAAATTACAGCAAGCTCTGAGTTGGCAATAAGTTAAAGCTACCAACCTCTAAATACTGTTTGACAGATTAATTGAAGTAAAATAAACCACCAGGTGATGGTATTCCAGTTACAAGATATTCTGCCAACACTATCTATGACTGATAGAAAACATCCAAATTTATGAAACAACATGAAAATGAAGAATTTTAAAAGAATCTTCTAAGAAAAAGATCCTGCCACACCTATTACCTACTGTGAGTCTATAAAAATCATATCAAAGTTTAGTGGGAGGCATTAATTTCCACCTAATGGCATCTCAAGTCTGGGGTGTTAAACCAAAATTTTGGCAATATAACACGTAAAAATTATGCCTGATACATATTATGTGCAATGTTGGCAAAATACCTGTGAGGACCACCACGTGGTATAGGTATCTCAGTTGTCCATTCCTTTTCCAATGCCTTGCCATCCTTTACTGCAATGCTCCAATGATCTAATCCAGGTTCATGGCGATCCTCTTTGCTGCCACCCATAACATGCAGTCTGCCTCTCCAAAGTTGAGTTGCTGGGGCATACCTGAAAATTGAAATGCAGAAAAAATCCAGATGAAGCTGCTTATGTAAAAGAGATCTCTTCCAGAGATGACTCCATAAAAATGCAGGAGTTAGCCAGACACAATGTGCTAAACTGCACATACCTAGGAACGGGTAGTGGGGGCAATTCACTCCACTCTTTCGTCTCTGTATCCAGCACAAAGTTGCGATTAGTAGGCCCTCTACATTGTGGACCATATTGTCCTGTGACAGCATAAATATATCTTCCATCCGTTGCCATTCCCAAGTGAGAATTTGCCATTTCTCTTGGCATTTCAATCCTTCCACCCCATGTATTATTTGTGAAATTGTATATATCAACATGAGAATGCACCTAAATGACAAGCGCATGGAAGAATATGATATTAGAATTAAAAGGTTAGGCATCAAGTACTTCAACATGAGATATCAAAATGCTTGTAGAAGCATGAAATTCACGAATTAAGTTCAGAGCGCACTAACTAAACTCAATAATCAAAGGCTAAATGTTGTACTAATCAAACACCAGCAAAGAATAAGAATTAAAAGCAGAGTCATCTATTCTAGTTTAGATTTACTTCATTTGGAAAATCGAAACAACTACAGCATGTCAATGTAGTCTAAAGCCTAGAAGAATAAGATAAGATACTAAAATTTTCACAAGTCCTTACATAATCAATGGTACCATATCCTGCAAATATATAAAACAGATCATTAATTTGTACAGCTGCCCCATCTAGACGAGGTACAGGTGCTTCAGGCATCTCTTCCCATTCTATTTGCGGTGCAGGTAAATCAGCAAAAGTTGCATTAAGATATCTAACTGACAACTTGACATCTTTAGAGTCTCCTTTTGGCTGCAGGAAAAAAAAAAAATCAAATTGCCACCCTCCCAAAATATATGAAGGCATTGAAAATTGAAAACAACTAAATGCACCTAAACAAGACAAATTCCAGGATGCATCAGCAATTTGATTGCCAAAATTAGTTATACAAGCAAAATAACAGAAGAATATTTTGTTGCAAGTCCACAATTTCCTAAGCAAAATTTGGACAAAGAAGCACAAAAAGCACTGCCAGCATCATCAGGAAAACTAGAGAAACTGAATACATGGATTAACTGACAGTACAAGGAGATGTTACAGGGAGAATTGGCCCAAATAAGTAGCAATGCAGAAAGGTCTAGTATCATTTGCAGCGGCTACTGTTTTTACTTATTTTTCACACTTGAATAATGAATCTTCAAGGGAATAAGCATAAGTAGAAACTACTTGTTGTCCATGGTCGGAGGACAAGAGGAATATTCTAAAAACAGTTCTTTCATATATACAGGCCAATAGCAATTAATTCAATTGAAAAGAAAAAGGCGACTGAGGTAGAATAAAGCAAATCCCCTTGGGAATATTTTGAGAAGACAATTCCGCACAACTGCTGCATCAGTCAGAAGCCAAAGCAAGAGAATTACGTTTATTAAAGGAGTCTTCCGAAGTATACATTACATAAGAGAAATTTTCAAAGGCATATGACGGTATGCATGAGATTTCCATAGTAAGTTAAAGGTTGAAAGACGTCATATAATCCTTCCGATAACAGAAACGAGGTCGCCAAAACATAATCAGAATAAATTATGCTTATTAGATAAAAGCAAGCCCCGGTGCATTGGCATGTAAGCAAAGCTAAACAAAGCCAAATCCGAAAATGTAGATGGACCGATGTAAAAGATGGGCCTTTCCAAACATGGTTTATCTTTCTCACTAATATTTAAAGCATCTGAAATCTAAAAGAAAAACCTCGATGAACTAACAACGCAAGCCTCATAGCTTTACCATTGTCTCCACTAGACGGAGCAACAGAAAGATCGGCAGATCGAATTCAGATCCGACGAGAAAAGAAGCAACATTGTATCCAAACCGAGAACAGAGATTCCGAGCCCAAACAAAGGCATCGGGATGAAGATCGAGCTTACTTGCTTGGCCTTGGGTGTGGAGAGGCTGAGGGAGAGGTCGAAGGAGGTGGGCCAGTAGGAAAACGAAGAGGGAGGAGAGATGCCCGAAGGCGATGAGGAGGAGGAGACCCAGAAGAAGTCGGCGAGGAGGACGATGGCGAGGAAGACGACGCAGGAAAGGAGGAAGACGCATTTCCGTGGCGTTTGCTTCCCGCTTCCAGGTCTGGCCATGGGTCCGAGGAGGGAGGAAGAGAGGCTGAGGAGAAGCGAGAATGGAGTGAGGGGGAGGGGGAGGAGGGGAGGAAGAAGGGGTGGAGAGGCGGCGGCATCCGGAGAAGAGAAAATGGTGGGCGGACAGCCGTTGGTTTCGTGCTCTTTCTCGTTTATTTCTTGTTCTGGTTGTTTCGATGATCCTCCTTTTCCTCTCTCTCCTCGCTCTGGTATTATTACTGTGAGCGGGCGCCGGGGTTTGTCGGGTCGGTGCGGGGAACAGGTGGTTTCCGGGGGTTCGACTCGAACAGCTGCGCGTGAGCGGAATTTTAGGCGCCGAAACAATGGAGGCTTAGAAAGCAACTTCACAAAAAAAATGCACGTGAAGATCTCGTGCAGCGGCGCGAGCGACGATTCCTCCCCTTCCCAAAATCTTCAGGTTGAAGCCACTAGTGTCACAGCTTCTGAGGCTCTCCCTTATTTACACACACCTTACACAAAAGTTGTGCATCATTTTGTAATGCAAAAAATGTCCAACGTTTACAGTCTGAAGATTAGTTAAGACATCCAAAGAATATGATGTAAAAGAATGCATATGATAAAGTTGTGGCCTTGGGGACATTAGGCTTCCTAAACATTCTGTGGATAATGTTGCTTTGGAAGTGAGTTTAGATGCCATAGATTATTATGTTTTTCTTAAAATAAAAATAAACTATGCAAGGAAAGCTGTGAAAGAATAAAAATAGGTAAACGTATAAAATTTTTATGGTGTCCGAGCTCCGAAGAGTTTAAAAGATAGAGAGGTAAACAGTCAATTAATTTAATTAATAGATTAAAATAATGTGATCAAAAGTTGAATACTGAGTCCAACGTCCGCGCATGCCCTCACATTGAAAAGAAACAAAATAATGTTAATTGTCATCTATGAATAGTAAGTGTCAGGAGGAACATCTTGAAGTGCAAGCAGCATTAACAAAGCAACCATAAAAGACATAAATATATAAAACTAGCTCAATTAATCGATCAAGTTATAGAGAGAAAAAAATAAATATAACTTAAAAATTATAGTCTTGAAAACCTTCGGGTTTCAGGGTCACATTGAACTAAGAAATTAACATCACAAAACAAAAGGTAGACATATAAAAACCAAGCTAACATCACGTCAGAAATATTTTATTTGTATCAAGAAAAGGGCGGAACGGCCACGTACAACATCACTGGGTCTTGTGCATGTGGCGAATCAGGTCGATAACACGTGAGCTGCAAGTAGGGAAATAGAAATTAAGCAAAATTTTGCCCAACTCTTCTAGATGTCCACAGTATCATTCTTGATGCAGAGAGAATAGTTCGGTTACCTGTAGCCCCACTCGTTATCATACCAAGACACAAGCTTGACAAACTTTCCATTCAAAGAAATTCCAGCCTTGGCATCAAAAATGCTTGATCTGCGGAAAAACAATTTAAAAGCTTAACCAACATGATCTGATGAAGACAATACATCGACATATTTGATACCGAAAGTTTAGAGTCATGCGCAGAGTAAATTCAAAGCTTGTTATTTAATTGCTTTCAGAATTAAGAATTCCAGCGTTGACAGCACCTCTTGTCTCCCACAAAGTCGGTGGATACCAAGTCCTCCTCCACATATCCCAAGATGCCCTTCAGCTTTCCCTCAGATTCCTCCCTGTGATGCAACCAATTAAAAAGATTCTAGAATGCTGAACTTAGAAAAGTGTCCATGACCCACGCTTCGGCTATGCATATGCTATATAGCAATATGATCAGTGGAAAGTTATGTTTGTTAAGGTAATAGTTAAAAGATGATACAACCATATCCTTCTGATGACTATTCTCTTACCTTCCAGCTGACCTACTTAAAGAACCCTATACAGTCAACATGTAAAAGAAATGAATGGCAACTTGATTCAGTCAATACTTAAATCACAGCAGACATAGTCATTGTCATTAAAAGATACAAATTATCTACATCGACTTACTTGATGGCAGCCTTGATCTCCTCATAGGTGGCTTCTTTCTCAAGCCTGACAGTGAGATCCACAACCGACACATCAACAGTTGGAACACGGAAAGCCATACCAGTTAACTTTCCATTCAAAGCAGGAAGCACTTTTCCAACAGCCTATGTGAGTGATTATCAGATCAAGTTAGTTAAAAATGTATTTATGTCCGACTAGTCATGAACAAGTTTTTAATTGTCAACTAAGCCAAGCAAAGAGCAATTCAAATGGATATTCTCTACCATTCACATGATCTTGTAACACAAATGAACCAAGAAATAAATCAAAAATAGTTTACCTTCACTTCCACTACAAACAATATTATTGTGGAAATGCATATACAAATCACTCATAGGACTACTGTAAAAGAACCAACATTTAGCTTTCCATTCAAAGCAGGAAGCACTTTTCCAACAGCCTATGTGAGTGATTACCAGATCAAGTTAGTTAAAAATGCATTTATGATGTCAGATTAGTCATGAACAAATTATCAATTGTCAAGCCAAGCCAAGCAAACATAAGAAATAAAATTAATCAAAAAGGTAATATAAGCAGTAAAACTCGAGCAATTCAAATGGACATTGTCTACCATTCACATGATCTTGTAATGCAAATGGACCAAGAAATAAATCAAAATAGGACACCTTCACTTCCACTGCAAAAAATGTTATTGTGGAAATGCCATACCAGTGAGTTATTTGAACTACCAACCGAAGGATTTAAAGATTGACCACTGTCTGCAGATCAACATGCATAAAAAGTAGCAATATTATCTACATGAAGTCTAACGTGATCGCTCTTGTGCATAAATGTTTACTAATATATTCTTAATCAGTCCATTATTATAGGGTATACATAAGTCACAAAACATACAGAAACCAGTTCAAATGCACAGTATATGTTGAATACTTGAATATACAACTAAATTACTAATAAATTTGGAACCTTTGCAGCACCAGTGCTGCTAGGAATGATGTTGAAGCTTGCAGCTCGTCCACCTCTCCAGTCCTTACTAGATGGTCCATCAACGGTTTTTTGAGTAGCTGAAAAACAAAAGTAAAGAACACCTTAACAGCTTCAGAAAAGTTACTGAACTTCAAAGAATCAAATATGTAAGGTGCAAATAATAATTACCAGTGATTGCATGAACTGTGGTCATCAAACCCTCTACTATTCCAAATCTATCATGGACAACCTGGCACATAAGATAATTAAACAAAACCAATTAATATCAAGTTCAAGATTAAAGACAGAAAATAGCCAATGTCAAAATGTGATTTACCTTGGCTAAAGGAGCAAGACAGTTGGTCGTGCAGCTTGCATTGGAGACAATATTAATGTCCGGCTTGTACTCATTTTCATTCACCCCTACAACGAACATTGGAGCATCCTTGCTGGGAGCAGAGATGATGACCTTCTTGGCACCACCCTGTTCTTAGATTAGAAAGGTCCAATAGGGAATTCCAATTAATTCCACCAGTCCAAGCACTAGTTTCATGATGAAATGAAAAAGTACATTGATCCCTCAATTTCATAGAAAGAAAAAACTGTGAGATACACTTGAATGATAGAACCAGTAACGCCTAGGTCACAGTTATAAGTAGGACGAGTTTACATGGCATATAGCAATCTTCTACAATGTCACAGATGTGAGTTTTACCAGCTTTTATTTACCAATTTCTACTAAAACTATCTTTCAAATGTCATATCAGACTTTCCACAAAAGAATAAAAAGATAGGAATAGCTAACTTATGAATGATTTCTTGATACATAGCTAACATGTTCAAATATATTGAAGTGACTATCAATCAATTGCGAAGGACCACATCACTTTAAGCATCAAAGTAGGTCCACAATATAAGTAGCCCAGGCTATTTAACAGTAATGAAGCAGTTAAAGGAATGTATAACCTAAAGAAATTTCCGTATATATGAAACTATAATGGTTGGGAATGAATAACATTCAGAGTCAATCATCAGTGGCGATATTAATAAAGAGACAAAAATGAATCACATAAATAAAGCAAATCTAGAATGACCATAACCTTAAGGTGAGCAGCAGCCTTGTCCTTGTCAGTGAAGACACCAGTGGATTCCACAATGTACTCAGCACCGGTCTCACCCCATGGAATCTCCTCAGGATTCCTAAAAACCATAAAAGTTTCAATGCACGACTGATGATAACATCTAAACACCCCTGTACCGTTTACCAGAAGAGGGTTAAGAATAGGATACCTAACTCCAAAAACAGTAACTTGCTTATCGCCAAAGAGAAGAGTCTTGGAGTCCTTCACCTTGATCTCGTGATGCTTCCAAGATCCATGCACGGTATCATACTTAAACATGTACGTCTGCAGTGCATTAACCAGCCAAATAGTATCAGATTGAAGGAAAAAAATGGAGCAAATGTAAAGATCTTGCAATTTACGAACAGACATATATGAAAGGCAACAAACGCTGTCATATCATTTCCAAATGAGATGAGGATAATTTCAAGTTGCGATAAGGTCAAAACCCCAAACAGAACAAAAATATCTGGAATAGTCATAGTCAACCAGATGTTTAAGTGTTTCCAATCTGGTCTACAGAAAACCACTAGAACCAGAGAATTCACTGTTAACCACGGATCAGGACATATACCGATCCACATATCAAGAATATCACAAGAAGATTGAAGCATCCGATGTAACAAACATAAACGAATGGGGAGATAAGCCATCAATCCAGCCATTACTGAAATCACATTATCGCTAGATCTGCACTCTAGATAAAGATTACTAAAATGACATAGTACCATGTAATCGGTGGTGATAAAGGGGTCATTCACGGCGACGAGCTCCACATCGTCGCTTTGGAGCGCGACTCTGGCGACCAGCCTCCCGATCCTTCCGAACCCTAGCAAGAACCACATGATCGGATCAACAAGGCGCTCATGGATCAAATAGATTTCGAAAACGTCGGGGGAAAACTAACCATTGATGCCGATCTTGATCTTTCCCGCTGCAAAAGAAGAACGTAAGAATCACAACCGGATCACATACGATCCAAAAGAACGAAGATCGAGGCGATCGAGGAAGGAGATCGGAGGCTTACCCATGGTGCGATCGAAGAGCGAGAACAGAAGGTGAATGGGAACCGAACGGGGAGTGCGGGTTTCAGCTTCGGCTTATATAGGCGAAGACGTTGGCTTAATCGATCAGGGTTGCTTAAAAAAAATACGAAATTGAACGAAAAATTAAATAATACTTCAAAAAAAAGATACAGGTTTTCTACCGTCGGATACGATCAGTTTTGTCTTTGATGCTTATATAACTGATGTTACTTTATCCTTTTAGTTAACTACCATTAATATTTATCCCTATAATTTAAAAAATTATGTTGGTATTCTTACAAAAATAAAATATCTAGGTTTATTTATCCTAACATCATCGTTTTTATCAATAAAAATATAAAAATAAAATTTTAATATTTTAATTGATGATGATGAATGATGTTATGTCAATGGTGATGTTATTGTGGATAAGAAGAGTGATAGTGAGAGATGAGGGTCACTTTGTATCAATATTGACACTGACATAATTGCCAAGTAATCTTTTTCATTATTTTGTATTTATGTCGATATCAACGTAGTTGTCGAGTGATAAAAGGATCGTCGATGTAGATATCGAGCGGTGAAAGAGCTATCGACGCATATGTCAAGTGGCGTAACTCAATAACTATGTCGACGTCAACACAAATGCAGAGCAACATCACTCAACATTTGCATCGATGATTCCTTTGTCACTTGGTAACTACATCAATGCCGATATAGATGCAAAGCGGCTATCATATCTTGTTATCACTCTCCTCATCCATAATAATCATTCGTAACTTCGAGCGATACTATCGTTCGTCATCATCAACCACCAAAGTACTAAATTTATTTTTTTATCATTTATTTTCATATTTTTGTTAGTAAAATTAATAATATTACGATAAATAAACTTAAATATTTTATTTTTATAATTATATGAATGTCAATATAATTTTCTAAAAAGTAGGAAAAAAAATACTAAGTACAAAGTAAGTAACACGTAATTAGCCTCACTCGTATCATTAATAGTATCGTCATCACATTCTCGTCATCACATTCAAGGCTTATGGATGGAAATACTTCCTTTTCCACATAAGCATTCCACGCCAAGTTGACCCTCTCAGACATGTCAACGAGACATTATCATTTGTGTCGATAATAACCATACAGAACAGGAAAAATTATTGGAATCATGATTACGAAAGTCACAATCATTTTGATCCAATCAGATGTACGAAAGACACTTAGCAATGAAACTCCCGATCGAGTAACAATCAAGCTTTTAACAGATCGAACCCTCTCCTGAATCATATCATTCATTATCTTGAACTTACTATTCCATCGTCAATATCATCATTATGACTCATTTATTATTATTGCTAATGTTGGCATCATAGTTGTTAGTATCTCATACCTAATATGCCATCGTAATGTATTCGCCCTCCAATTTACCTTAATTAATCACGACCATAATCATTTTATTATCGCTGTTATTGTCACCAATACACTATTACAATATTATTATCACTATCGTCATATTTTCACTACAACCATCATATATTATTATTATCATCATCATTTCTAATCTAATATTAATTTATTATAAATGACATCATAGTTCATTTCGAATCAGCATCAAATCATATCAATAGTTTGAACGTTCCAAATCAAACTAAATTTGATGATTCACAGTTAAAATCTAAAATCAAAATCAAAACCAAAAATAAAAAAAAGTTGATCCAGCAAACGATGAATATATTTTTGAATAGCTTCATAAACGACTAACTAGAGGATATTTTAGAAAAATAAAATTATTTCGATTTGGAATCATAATCGAAATCGAAACCACTTGGAATTGGTTTATAAATTAAATAAGTAAAATAAATTTTAGATATTGATTGATACAACGAGTTTATAATTCGATCAAATATTAAGCTGAAGTAGATATTTAATTTTCTAATAACGTAATTCCATTTTTCATTGAATTAGCTGTTGTGATATTTCATTTATAAATAATAATAAAACATGTTAGAAATCAACCAAATTTTGAGGACCAGAATATTCTTATTGTTTCAAATATATATTTTTGTTCCTATGAAACAAAGTTTCATAGGCAATTACACTACATGCATGTGGTGGGATGCAATTGAGGGATCAAAATCCTCTCCTACAAGTGATCTTCCGAAGGTCAAACCTCGTTGACAACCAACAGAAATTGGGCTAAAATGTTTGGTCAACACAATTAGAATAAATAAATATGTATATATATATATTCTAATAAATATATATTATATTTTTATTGGAGAATATTTTAACACATATTATTTTTTTATATGATATTTTTATTTTCTGTAATACTCATAATGTCTCTTATCGTAATTCGTCGTCCGGTCTTATCATCAGACGCTCGATCATCGTGCCCTTGTCTGACACCTCCACTATCAGTCTCGAGGGTGGAGACGATGATAGAGAGCATGTCAGGTGATCAACGAGGAAGAGCATTATGGGGATTACAAGAAAATAATGTTATTTGAGAAAAATAAAAAAAATAAAGAATATATTTAGAAAAATGAAAAATAATGTTATCAAGGTTGGACACGTTGGCAATTCATCAACCTTTCGGTTGGGTGAGCCGAAAGAGTTGACTTGGCTGATGGTCAATCGGTCAATCATGCGGCCGAGGCCGGTGTGGGCGTCGACGCCTCCTCCAAATCCCTTTCTTGATCCTACTGCAGAAGAAGCAATCCTTCGCCAGCCTCCCAGGAATCAACCGGCAACGGGCAGGGCAATTTCTCATCCCCCTGTTGATTCTCTGTGGCTTGGTGGAGTTGTTTGTGGCCTTTCTTTGTTTATGGGGAAGATAGAAATCTGTGCATCCGCAGCCATTCAATTCAACCTTTGAAGATTGTATTCTTTTTCTTCTTAATCTTCTTTCCAAGGAAGACAAGTTGCCTTCTCTTGCCCCCGCCCGCCCCTCCCGACCCCTTGCGGTCCACTTTTTCTTTTAGGGAGAAAGAGAGAGAGAGAGAGAGAGAGAGAGAGAGAGTTTTGCTATATAATGAAGGCATAGGGTAGCTGCTGGAAGGATTCTAATCATTTGCTTGTTTGCTATTTTTTCCTCCTCTTCTTCTCATCCCAGAAAGCACAAGGAGGTACAAGAGAAGTGGCCAGGCAATGTTTCAGAGCCAGATGGCCAGGCCACCATCCTTCAGAGGTGCACTCAAAGCCCTCGAAGCTGACATAAACCATGCCAACACCTTGTAATCTTTCTCTCCTCTTCTCGTATCTTATATGATTGTTGTTTTTGTGTAGTGGTTATAGTGATTCCAAAGGCAGTTGTCAGACACCCAAGGGTGGGTGGTCTCGATTTCTAGGGTTTTGGAATCAGATGATGGTTTCATGTCCTGGTGATTGAGTGTGGTTGGCTTGTTGGGATTACAGGGCAGATGCTATCCAAAGGGCTTATGGTGGTGCATGTCTCCAGATGAGGTTGTCTTATAGCCCCTTGGCACCCTTCTTTCTCTTCCTAATGCAGTGGTTGGACTGCACTTGTTCTTACAGCCTACCGCGCAATTTGGGGCTTTTTCGAGTTCTTGTCCACAAGGTACTTCTCTGACAGTTTGGGATAATTCTTTCAAGTATCATCTGCAATTTACTGTTGATCATTGAAGAAGAAATGTCTTTACAGCCAGCCATGTGGGATGATAAAAAGCTGATTTATGCAGGTCTATGTTGATGGTATGACAACAGTATCTACTTTCGAAAGGCGAGCTAGCATTAGAGAGTTCTACGGTGCACAATCTGAACTTAAATTCTTTGTTGTGCTGCAAATTCTTGAATTGCCTAGTTTCCCATAAATGTTTGTATATCGTCACACGGTTTGTAGTCTTGAACCAAATTTGCAGCTATTATATATCCCTCCCTTCGACAACTCGAAAGCAACTTGGTCGAAAGAGCACGATCTAAGAAGGGCCGAGCTGAAGAGGTAGTTGTCAGGAAAAGGATGGAACACTGGAAGAAGTTTTTTGATAGGGAATTGGACAGAGACGACGAATGTGGAATTTGTATGGAGGTTTGCACCAAAATGGTCCTGCCGAACTGCAACCATGCCATGTGCATAAAATGCTACCGTGACTGGTGAATTCTTCCTCCGTTCCGGTTTGTTATGTGCTCTCTTTCAACTTTGGTTTTCCCTGAATGAGACATGATCGTACTTTGCAGGAATGTGAGATCTCAGTCCTGCCCCTTCTGTAGGGGAAGCATAAAAAGGGTGCGGTCAAGAGACCTATGGGTGCTTACAAACAAGAGCGATGTGGTCGACACCATGACTTTAGAAATGGATAACCTGAGGCGCTTCTATTCCTATATAGATAGTTTGCCGCTGATCATTCCAGACACCCTTTTCTTGGTTTATTATGATTATGTAGTATGATCAGGAGACCTAAGGAGAATGGTGTACAGATTGCTGGAAAGCTGACCATTCCATTCCTTATGGATTGGGTCTGGTAAGAAAAGAGCTCTTCCGACCTCACACTTCATTTGTTCCAATTGTGAAGTAGAGTACCATTGTAATTCTCCTAAGAATAATTGCATATAAAATGAACGTTTTAAGGCACATTGTTAAAGAAAACTTTGTAGAAGAAAAACAGAAGGAAAAGAAAAGGTGGAGTTCAGTATATATGCTAATTGGCTTTCTTTATCAGTCTTTGTGCACACTTTTGCTTCGTGGAACTCATGAAGGTCACCCGAAAACTCTTTTTCAAAGCAAATAAGATTGGTATGACTTAGACTGGATAAGCTGTCTAAAAGTGACTAACATAAACACCATTATAACTAACATAAACACCATTATAACGTCTCAGAATTAACTCATATTTACTTCTTGTTCTATTATATATGCTAATTGACTTTCTGATCAGGTGTTTATGCACTCCCCATTTGCCTTGTGAAACTAATGAAGTCATCTGAAGACTCTTTGTCGAGTCAAATAAGATGGCCATGGCTTAGATTGGATAAGCTGTCTAAAAGCATCTTAACACCAATATAATTAAAATTATCATAATTAACTCATATTTGCTTCTTGTTCTATTATGACATCAATGGGCAGGAACGAAAATGAAGAAATTATTGCCTGTCGACAAGGTCTATTAACTATTATTGCCTTTTCTTTTACTTTGTCCTCAATCATCAGTGATATCTGAACCCGTGGAGTAACTTGAAGTCATTCTTCCCCCATGTTTACTTTAGCTTGATGCATCTACTTTATCTTCATTGATCTCACCTTCACTTTGGTCATGTATGCATGGAATTCATTGCCTATTCACTTGTAGTATATCATTTGCTAGTGATGCTTATACTGCACATATTAGCTGAACCCCTTCGGTTATTTGTCCTTCCAGTTGGAAAGGAACTTCTCTTTTTCTTCATCTCATACATGTGAAAGTTCTTGAATCTTGATTTAAATTATGCAAGTTCTATAAATCATGCTTTGTTTGGGATGAGATAAACGGAAACTAGTTTTTCCAAGCAACCTTTTCTTTCATACAAAACTTATGTTTTGATGTTTCTAAGTAATCTTTTGGGTTTGAGGGAAAAAAAGGCTATAGTTGGTTTGTCAAGTTGATAAATATTTTTCTTTGCTTACTTAAGAATTTGAAACGTTACAGTAAAACATGGATAGGAGAACCTATTTAGAGGTGCTTTGGACTTGGTAGATTACATATAGTTTTGTGAGGGCCAAGATAACTTGAATGATTTTGGGATAATGAGATTCTGCCATCTTGTTAGATCCTTAATAGCAGTCATGTTTAAATTCTTGTGTAATGATGATCAGTATAATCAAATCCATTAATCTGTGACCATTTTTATGTGTCTTTGCCTCCCAAATGCTGATGAGGGTTCTGCTTGTGCTGCATTAAGAGCTTCCTCCTGTTATATAGAGTTTCTCCTTGCCTCTTCTGAACTAGATTCTGTGGAACAAATGATTTGGTGCAGAGGATAACTTCAAAAGCTAGAACATGAACAAGACACAATTCAGTTTTACCTCATTAAACCATATTACAGTTGAAGACTAATGTTGAGCATACAGATACTACCGAAATCTTGCTTTTATTTTGCCAAAGCATATAATTCATGAGGTGAAGGCCTGATTTATTAGAAAAAACATTTGTTATCCTGTGACAGGAGTTGGCTTGAATTCAATCGATGAGTGGAATAGAGCTGCCATTCTCTGGGAATTATTTGTTCATCATATACAATCTGTGCTGTTGATGGACTACTTTGGATTCACTGACTAAAACTCAAGGAAAGATTCTTTGGAGCATTACACACCCCATTTCTTGCAGTTGGGTGTGTGTAAGAAACTGTCAAGATTGTATGTGGGTATAAACTGAGTAATGAGAAACTATCTCGAGAGGATGTCTCCAATCCTTTAAATGCTAAGATGACTATAGTGATGCTGAATGGAAAATGGAATCTTCCTGTGTCTCTGAATTCATACATCAAATAGTTTTTGAGATAAGTATCACTCATGAGAAAGACCAAGTGCTGTGGAAACATAACAGATCAGATCAGTATTCATGAAGCCTGAGAACACAATGGAGAAAAGGATTGGTGTCTTTGGAGGATGCCTCACTCGGGCAAGGATTGTGTTCTATATCATTTGAATTATTTTCCTCATTAAACCAAAGACTCTCAAGCCAACCACCAAAGTAAGTAATTTGATTCTATTCTTTATTTAAAATTCTTTAAAAAAACAACAGAAAAATATGAGAACATGAATCTGAATCAGCACCACATTTTAAGAAAGTTGGGAGGTGGCTTCCACATTTTTTCATGTCTAATAATAATAATAATAAAATTTTGACCTAACTTTGAGTGAATAATCACTAAAAGGACAGTTACGAGATTACCTGCCGTCACTAATGATGAGGTCATGGATGATGAGTGGCGCTGGTGGGGATTGCATGTTCACAAAAAAAGGCTCTTCGACTGCTTCAATCAGTGCTACCTTCTTTGCAATTGGTCGTGGCATTGCTCTACACGCGGGCCCAACGTGAACCTTGATAACTTTCTCCAATCAACTGGACGGTGGGAAATAGTGTAAGCATATCTTCCTTTCGATTCTATTCTCTTGGGACACAACGATGCCACGTCATAAGTTTCATTGGCGCACCCATCAGCTCTTTCTTTTGTTCTTGTGACCAATTTCCCTCTTCCCACCTTTTCGGTTACCTGAAATATTACTGGACCACATGTGTGCCACGTAATCGATTATGCAGGATCTAAGAATAAGACCAATCACAAGCAACGTGTAACACGTGGGTCCATAAGAAATGGTATTTCTGTTTCTTCCTGACCCACACACCTTTTGTACCGACGGTGATCATATCGCTTTCGGTGCCCTTTCTTATTTCGCTTCGTTTCCCTGTGCTTACCCGTTTGCTCGCTTCCAATGGCCGCTTCGAGGGTTCTCCTCCGCCGAGGCGCCGCTGCCGCGCGCGGCCTTCTCCCGACCCACGCCCCGGAGACCACGGCTGCGCGATTTCTTCAGGCTCAGCATCACTCGTCCCAGTCTGATTCGGCGGCCTCCAAGCCCAAGCGTACCAAGACCTTCTCCATCTACCGGTGGAATCCCGACCAGCCGGAGAAGCCGCAGCTTCAGAGCTACGAGATCGATCTCGGCGAGTGCGGCCCCATGGTCCTTGACGCCCTCATCAAGATCAAGAACGAGATCGACCCCTCCCTCACCTTCCGCCGCTCCTGCCGGGAGGGTATCTGCGGCTCCTGCGCGATGAACATCGATGGGGACAACGGCCTCGCCTGCCTCACTAAGATCCCGTCCTCGTCCGCGGCCGCGACCACAATCACGCCGCTGCCGCATATGTATGTGGTCAAGGATCTGGTGGTGGACATGACCAACTTTTATAGCCAGTATAAGAGCGTGGAGCCGTGGCTCAAGAGGAAGGATCCGCCGCCCATCCCCGGGAAGGAGGTTCCTCAGAGCAAGAAGGATCGCGCGAAGCTGGACGGGATGTACGAGTGTATCCTTTGCGCCTGCTGCAGCACCGCCTGCCCTAGCTACTGGTGGAATCCTGAGACCTATCTCGGGCCGGCTGCCCTCCTCCACGCCCACAGGTGATTTGTTCTTTTACTGGATCCCTTTCTCTAGGAATGGGTTGGTTAGCTTTGTTTCTTTCATTGCTTAAAGTAGCCCAAAGTTGTTTCTTTGAAGAATTTTTTTTGTTGAATTCAGCTTTGCTGCTTAATGATTGGACTATGTCAATGATTGGTGATCAAGAAAATGATTTTTTTATAAAAAATTTGTCGGTGTTTGTTGTTTATAAATTGATGGCCGATTCACAAACATCATGAGGTTGAGGGTTTAACAATCAATCTGTGTTTATAGAATTTGGGTCCTTGAGGGAGGAAAGAGATGTTGGAGTTCCTTCCTGCCTTTATAATTCTTATTAGAAAAATTTCAATTAGATGCTGTCATATGCATGTACAATTCAAAAGAGCCTAAACTCAAATTACAAAATGATCAATTTTTATAATTGTCAACTAAGCATGACAACATGGAATGAATATGCTTCCGGTGTTAGTATCTGGAATAAAGTAGGTTTATAACTTTTGTACGTGTCAAGCTAATGTGGTTTTCATTCTCCCGCCTTCCCTATCTGTCTCTCTCTTGTTCTCTATGACTCCACCTTGGTCTCTGATGAATAAATGTAACTGGGATTTGTAAAAGAATGTTATGGATGATCATTGTGACGCTTTAACAGGCATTTGGCTTTAAAATTATGTGGCTTATTTGCTGCCTATAGTCGATTGATCTTCTGTTAAATTATTTTAAGAAGTGGTATGTGCAGCCACAAATATGTACAAGGATTACCTCATATATGTGGCTTGTGTAGGGTGTGTTATTGCATATGCAGTGTATGCAACTGCATAGGTGGTCATGCACATCAATATGGATGCTCATGTGGTGCACATATAAATGAAATTGTAATTGAATATGGATTTTTGTTCCCTCCTAATGTTACTAAGTGTATGATTGTATTATTTCATTCTGTTAAACATGATAAACCATTAATTAACTTTTGTTAACTAGAATTCTCTTTGCTTCTTCTAACTTTATCATTTACATAGCTTCTTAAAGAAGGCTTTTCTTTGCTTCTTCTGTTAAATTATTTTAAGAAGTGGTATGTGCAGCCTCAAATATGTACAAAGGTTACCTCACATATGTGGCTTGTGTAGGGTGTGTGATTGCATATGCAGTGTCTGCAACTGCATAAGTGGTCATGCACATCAATATGTATGCTTGTGTGGTGCACATATATATGAAATTGTAATTTCATACGGATTTATGTTTCCTCCCAATGTTACTAATTCTACTATTGTATTATTTCATACTATAGAACATGATACACTATTAATGAACTTTTGTTAATTAGGCTTTTATTTGCTTCTTCTGACTTTATCATTTACATAGCTTCCTAAAGAGTATTAAAATAATTTTCTAAGTTTATGATTGGCTATAGCATATACCTATTTGATTTGTTTTGCCCTTTATTATATTATTTTGAATTTTTTTAATACAAACCACATACAATCATGGCTGTGTATGCATCTGTACACTGCATATGCACTATGTGGCATCTTGACCGTCTGTGTGCCATATTTTCTTATAAGAAAGAGTGGAATTCTCTGCGTCATTGTGTTTATGCAAATAATCATGAAGTCATTCATAAGATATCTTCTTTGCATGTATTTGAGGCGAGTATGTTTTATCGCTTTATAGGAAGCGACAAATGAACATGAACTTGATGAATTTCAATTTTTTATTGGGAAATTGTGTTTTAGCCATGGATTATGTACTTAGATGAGCTTGCTGGGTATATTACTGAGAATCACATAACTTGCTTAATTACAATGATTATGAGATTATAAACTCTTTTATGAGCAAATAATTCTTTTTGTGAAATAATTTTCTTAACGAACTTGATATTGTGTTGCTTTTAGAAAGAAAAAAATAGTTAGAACTTTGAAGGAATCTTTGAATATGGGGCTTTTGGCATTCAGTTAGCAATTGTTTAAATTGCATGTTGTCAAAGTACCTTACATGGAGGCCATGTTGTTTTTGTTAAAGTAAAACATGTCAATTTATCTCCTGTCCAGTAAATGATAAGGCTGGAATCATCAACCTTGTGCAGAATGACTTAGCAGGCCTAGTAACCAGGTTCTTTTCTTGCAGGTGCAAATTAAAGGTAGCATTAGTGTGAATTTCACATTTGCATTTAACAAAAAAAAAGGTCATTTTTGTGAAGAATTTTTAAGGCTTCCAATTTGAATCAGCCCTTGACAAATACTAATAGTGGCAGGTACTTCATCAGTTAGGGAGCCCAAGATATCTGCTTCTGAGTTCCATCATTCACATCTCCTGTGAGATGTTGTTTTGGTTTCCTTCTTCAATCATTATGTATCTTGGTTGTCATCATGATGGCTTGTCATTTATTGATCCTTTGTCTTGTACTACTAAGCTGAGTCTGTGAGTTTGTGAGGGTCGGTGGTAACATGTTCTTGTAAGGAAGGATTAACAGTATATTTTTCAAAACCAAAGGTTTGGACCGTTTGTACGACTAAAGCTGAGTTCGTGAGTTTGTGAGGGTCTGTGGCAACATGTTCTAATAATGTTGAAGCATATGAGCATTGAATTACTCGAGTAAAGGATAGGTTTAAGGTTTAACAATATATCTATCAAAACCAAGCATTTGGATTATTTTGTTGAATAAGTCATATGGCACTGAATTCTTCATTTGGTTTTTGCTTAACAACTTTTGTTCTCAGGTCGCCTTCCACTGGTCTTTCTTTTAAGATTCTCCTGTTCTGATTTTTTTCAAACTTGATTTCTTTTCTCTTTTCCTTTTTTCACTTATTAGAGTTTTTGATATCTCAGTTTACCTGGAAAACCTTCTGATATGATCATAGTTTAACAAAATAACCAAGTATCTTGTTTGTGAATAACTACAGCATTGATTATGTGTCAACTGAGATCTGCCTTGTTAAATTGCCATTATCAGGGTCTCCATCCATAGGCATAAGGGTAGGATTATGGGTAATTGATTACTCTGTGATTTTTTTTGTTTCTTGTACCTTGATTATTGAATCTGGGATGAAGCTCCAGATGAGCTTGAGTACTAGTTTTTTTTTTCATACTGCAAAAAAAGATGATATCAGGGATATGGTAATATTCAAATGAATTCAAATTTTAATTCTACAACTGTATCCATCAATATATAGAAGACTTGAGCTTGTGTATCTATTGGGCAACATAAAAAACTCTGCTATTAAGATGAACCAGATTTTCCTTGATTATAAAGACAGATTGGGTAGCTTTTCTGATTCATCATTCAGTTTGGTTTGGCCATTAATTCTTGCTTGGGTAATGTAAATGACGCATCTTACACTATTCCCGGAAGCAAAGCTTAAAATTTGTCTAACATCAATTGTATGGTTGTTAGATTAGTTTCGCTGAAGTAGCTGGGAGTTATTCTTGAGAATTTGTCACATAATATTTTTTCTGCATGTTCCTTTCAGCTTGAATGTTTTATGTAACTTTGTAGTTTGTATTGCCTGCAACCTAGATGCAAGGACACATTTTTCCTTGTGTGCTGTTAATCTAATTGTAGAGATGCTCCAACCTTGAAACACAAAGCATGCTTCATGCAATTGGTGTCCACGAGTACATCAACTTTAGATTTTCAGGTCATCACAATCTTGACAAATGTTTCATGGTAAACCCTGGCGGTGTCTGATCATTACTTCTTATTATGTACCCATATGCCCGTAAACTCTGATCCAGTTTAATAAAATGAGGCCCTGGGAACATATCCCACATTTGCCAGTATCTATATTGAAGATCGTGTGGTTTTGTTCTGGTACTATCAATGTTGCAAGATATTTGGACTTCGGTGAGCAAACTACAATTAATGGACAAAAGAAATAGAGACTGATGAATTGTGACAATGCTTGTCTTTGATGAGCATGAGCAATTGGTAAAAGCCTTGCACCTGTTTATCCTTTCTGGATTCCTTCTGTGCTGTTCCATATTTCTTAGTACTCAAATTCTGCTTCGAGTATGATTTTGTTTGGACATGTTTTTCGGAGCTGAGGGTTTGCTTTGTTGTGTAGGTGGATACAAGACAGCCGGGATCAGTACACAAAGGAGCGTCTGGACGCCATAAACGACGAGTTCAAGCTGTATCGTTGCCACGCTATCATGAACTGTGCCCATGCCTGCCCCAAGGGATTGAACCCCGCAAAGCAAATTGAATCCATCAAAAAGCTTCAGCTTCAGTAAGTTTTCCGTGAGATCCCTCTTGTTTTGCAGTCACGGCAACATGGAACGTTTACCATTTGCAATAATAGCGTTCACCAATGAGTTATGTACTCAACTCTTAGCATCCAATTGTGCTTGAGAATAATGGCCCGCAACTTTTGTCTACTGTGGGCAGGACATCACTCTAACAACGGTTTCATGTTGATTGTTGTTTGATATAAAACTATATTAGTAATTGAACTTGGCATTGTTGAATATGTTGCCTTCATCATCTGGTCGTTTTGTTTATGGACTTATCATATTGTTAGGAAATTCATAGACGTTATGGTCAGACGAAATGATTACTTAAGAAGATTTACTAGAAATAAGAATGTTGAGTTTCAATTTAACCAAAGATATTGTCTTGTATAGAATTTAATGATAAAAAAAGATTCTCGTAGTTGCCTATAGATAATTGAGATCGTATCTTTAGGATCTCAATTGTTTATAGTCGAAAAAACGCTCAGATTCATCGACTGGGTGTGACCTGAGTTGTGCCGAGTTAACCCACCCCTCCTTTGTTGGTGTCTCGTTCCTTGATTCGGGTAGCGAGATCCCCGTGACAAATATCTAGCATCCTTCTCCCTTCGTCAGTGTCTTACATTAGTCCGCTGATGTGACTGATGAGTTGCTACTTGATCTTAGTATCTTTAAATATTACAAAACAGTATCAAGTTATATTCAATAATTGTACTGCTGTTCTAATTTGTGACGTGGGTGATCGAAGGTTTAGAGTGGGATCCCATGACAACTGGGGAATCCGATCCTCCTCCGCCCTCTGATCATGATCAGACGTCATCAGTTTCTCCAAATCTCGCGCTGGCCCACCCCGACTCCCGTGATGCGCATTTACGTCTCTCGTGAATCACCAACCCGGCAACCGGCGAAATCCGGATAACCTCGCGATCTTCTGACCTATCCTCCAATGGCCTCGCTACATGTGTCCTGATTTGGTCCAGCTCAGCACTCCCTCGCCGATCCTTCTAGAAAAAGTGCGCGACATTTTGCCGTGGAGATCGAAACTGGAGGAGACTGTGTACCCTTTTCCTGCTCCATCAGCGGACGAGTTAAGTAGTGGGAGTATGCGGAGCTCTCGGCGATCCCGATCGAAGGCGCGCAGGCCCAAGTACGTTAGCCTCCGTCGTCACCTCGCTCCTCGTCCTCCTCCTTCGCCCGCGGATCCTTCCGACATGTTCTCCTCCGCTGCTGCCGACGATGACGACGACGCCACCGCCCGCTGCCACCAGCTCGACCTCTTCCCCCTCCAGCCGGAGCACCTCGACCGCGACCCCCACGTCGCGTGCCTGCTCGACGACCGCGGCGGGGGCGGGGAGCCGACGCTCGCCGCCCTCCTCGGCTGCGGTGGTGGTGGCGACTCCTCATCCGGTTCGCCCTCGCCGGTGTCCCTGGCGTCGCGGTCGATGAACCGGGAGGAGGAGGAGGAGGAGGAGGAAGAGGACGAGGAGGAGGAGGGCGGAGATGGAGACGGGCTCGCGAGGCGGGCACTCCGGGGACGGGAGCGGTGGGCGTACTGCCGCTCCTCCTCCTCGTCGTCGGAGGAGGTGGCTAGCTCCGCCGCCGAGGGCAACGGTGGCGTGGATCTGTGGCGGTGCGTGACGCCGCAGGCTCTGGCGCTCAAGTTGGACTACGAGGAGATCCTGGCGGTGTGGTCGGACAGGGGGCCGCTTTACATGGACGGCGAAGGTCCTCAGGTCGTGCCGCAGCTCCAACACCCCTGCGACTCCGCGGTCCTCCCGGTGAGTCCATTTATCAAACACCTCTCCATCCCCCCTCTCACGTTAGATCTGACGCATTGGGTGTCGTGAACACCGACTGATGCTGTGGGGCAGATGCTGGTGGAGGTGGGGTGCAGGAGCTGGAAGGTGCCGGAGCAGCCGGCGGAGGGGAAGGAGAGGAGCGGCATGAGCAGGGAAGCGAGGGTGATGAGGTACAAGGAGAAGAGAAGGAACCGCCTGTTTGCGAAGAGGATACGGTACGAGGTCCGGAAGTTTAACGCTGAGAAGCGGCCACGAGTGAAGGTAAACATACCAGAAGAAACAATACCTCTCGAAACAACAAGATATGTGCATTGGATCATTTTTAGTGTTAGATTTTGTTCAACCAACCTTTTCATTTATATCATCAGAAAAATATTCACGAGATGAATATTGAGTGAGAAATAAGAAAATCTATGTTGTTAAGAAATGAAAGAGTTAAATTCTACATATTGAATTTGTTCAAACTTTTGAGTTACACTGTTGTCCAATTCTATGTTACCTCAATTTGACTCAGACTTGTCTATATTAGAAGATTAGGATTGAACATGTTGGTTGAAGTCAATCAAATTGTAGTTTGACTCAAAGTAAGGTTGAGTATCCTCCAAATAAGGGGAAATGATCGATCCACATATGAATAAGGATTGTTGCATCGGTATTCAAAGAGCCCTGAATCAGTTTGATTCAGACTACTCTATCATAAAATTCCAACATATGTATCTTGATAGTCAAAATATAATCACAGTCGATGGGTCTTAAATCCGAGTCCATGTGTGTGCGCATCTCTTACGTAGTTTATTTTGATGAAATTTTCTTCCTATGTTTTTGGAATCTTGTGTTAGAGATAAAAGGGGGAACAAAAGACAAAAAGCTAGGATTTTGATTAGGCATTTATATGTTTGGGGAGAGTCAAGATTGAGATAGGAAGCATTTATGAAGTCGATCGCGCATAGTATCAGTTTGTCGATATTATGCTAAATTGATTTAGTTGCATTAGCAAGTCTTTCGAATAATTATCACTACTTATATATTTGCATTCAAAATTCTACATAATTATCTTAGATCATCACAGAATGGAGAAATGATGTCAATATAGTTCTACTTGGAATTTGATAGTCTAGCTTAGAGGCCATCACCTTGTGTGTTCATGTTGCTTCTTTTTATGATAGCACCTTGTATCTTGATTAACTTATATATATGCCATTGGAGAAGCAGATTTTTATCTTAATTTTATGCTACAATTGTTTAGTTAATGCCTATATATAACATTTGTCTGATTAACATAAAATGTAATGATTCATTTACAATTCATGTACAAAAAACAAAAATATTGTGTGAGATCTCACTCTTGTTTCGATCATTGCAGGGCCGGTTTGTAAGAAGGAATGATGAAGATGAAGACCATTCTTGATTCCATTAAATGAAAGGTGAATAACTTCAACTTTAATGTGGAGAAAATAATCTCATGTAAATGATATGTATCATCAATACATTGCCTACTTGATCTGCTGGACTGAGGAAGCTGCAGAACTGGGAGTGTAAAACAGCTTGTGCCTGCCTTTTAATAAGACATGCACATATATATGTTGGCAAGGAGTCCATTCTTTGAGCAGCTCAACTGAGTGTTGTGTCATCATAAACAAAGCTGCAAAGAAAGTACTCTTTGAGTTGTGAGTTCAAACTGCAATGTCCTGTGCAGTTCTTCCTGTAGAAACACAACTAGCTAAACATTACTTTCCTAAAAGAAAATAATTAGTCAGCATCTTGAAGAACATTTCTCTGTTGCCTAAACCATTAGGAGGTAATCACAAATGCAAGCATGAGCCAGTGGTTCTGTTTCCATTTCTACCCGAACTAAAGACTTGCAGATCTGACAGAACCAGCATTGACTAAAAGGATGTCATGCAAGGAGAAAAACTTGGTCATTTTCTTTAAAGATAATTAATGCACATCTTCCTTGACATACCTCTGAATCAGCTTAAATAGCAACAGGCATCCATGAGAAATAAATTGCTTCCTTGAAGATTCAATGCCTTGTAACTTTATTCTCTGTTTAACTAGTTATTATCTGCCCATGGAGTGATGGCTTCAGTAAGAGCAGAGGTGACAGATAAATAGATATTGACAACTGATTCATTAAAAGCTTAGGTTGAAAGAAGTAGACTCAATTGTTCATAATTTTTTTTGCTTATAATGTTTTAATATCATCCGATCCGGATAGAAAATATATTAATAGTAAATAATTATCTGACATATAAGCATCATGTGAAAGCTATCGTGAAAAAAAAAAGTTAAAGTTATCTTTCACCCATCTGTCCACGTGAACAGAAGTCTAATACAGGTCATTTGAGGTTATCTTTCTTAACGTTCTACGTGGACAAAACACTAAGAGGAGGACGTTGGGGCGATTATAGATTGTCCACTTTGAGGCTATATGTAAAAGTTAATTTTTGGTGCTATGCTAAAGGGCTTGTTTTTCAATAAAAACCTACACCTACTAAGACACCTTGATCATTATTTTGAACATCTGATGGACTAGGTCCAAAAATTTTTATTGACATTGATCTTAATACATGTGATACTTTGGGAGCTCGACACTTTCTCCTCAGAACCACCTTAGTGATCACCTTGAATACTCTTTGTGCTCTTAGGTTTGGATCGGTTGACTATGATGATTTCCCCTAAAACATATATTATTAGTAGATTTTATTTATTAATACTTTTTATTAAAAGTTTTAGTTAGTAATTTAGTCTCTAAATATCAATTAATCCAATAATTAGTGTACTAAAAACAAAGTTTTTTTTAAAAGTATTATTAGTGTTTTTTTAAATTTAATTATTCTAAACAAATTTAAGTTCATAAAATATTATAATTTCTAATAATATATCTTTTATTATCATGGAAGATTATAGATAGGGCTTCAATTTGGGGAGGCAATTCACGAACCCAAACCGAAATCGACTTTAAATTGGATCTGGTCGAGAGACGCATTTGCTTTGCTCCGTCTCTCTCTGTGCCCCCCAACAACTATGGCGGAGATTTCCGAGGACGCTCCTCCTCCTCCTGCCGCCGCCGCCGCCGACGCCGGAGTCCAAGGCGAAGCGGCCCCCACACGGCGGTCCACGAAACCCGGCCGCAAGCGTCTCTTCCTCACCTTCTCCGTCCTCCTCTCTTTTCTCTCAGGTTTGATCCTCACCCAACTTCTCCATCTCTCTCTCTCTCTCTCTCTCTCTCTCTAACTCTAACCTTTTCTTCTGCTTCAGGACTCCCTTTCTTCCTTAAGTCCACCGAGATCCACCGATCGCCGCTCCCTTTCGAGTCCATCGACGCCCTTTCCCGCCGCCTCCAATTCGACCCTCCCTCTCTACCCTGCCACTTCCGGGCCGTCTTCCTCCGGTCAGGAGCCGACCGTACCCTCGCCGCACGACTCCAGTCCGCGATCGCCGCCGATATGGGGAGACGTGCCGGCAACCGTCTCTCCTGCGGCGGCTGTGGCCGCGGCTTCGCCGTCTCCGTCACCGTGGACTCCGGCGAGGAATGCGTGAGCGATGACGGCGGTGTGGCAGGTTCCTGCCTTTGGACGTGCGGCGCGGTGAGTTTGGATGGTAGTGGTGAGGATGATTCTGCTGTTGATGAGTTGCTGGATTCGGTTATGAGGGGAGCGGGTGGAAAGGAGTGCGTGGACGCCGGTGGCGGGAGGGTTTACACTGTGGTGGTAATGGAGAAGGAAGATGTTGAGAGCGTGAGGGTTGTTGTGGGGAAGCATCGGCATGCTTGGATTGTGGGTAAGGTCTCAGAAACAGATACTGTCTCCATCATCAGCAAGGTGTTTGTGAAATACTTCATGAATGGGGGGAAGGAGGGACGTGGAATGGAGAAAGGAATAGGAGAGTTCGTGCCAGTTGGGGCCGATGGGACTGTTGTTCTCTCCTTTAGTTTGTTGAATGCTGATCCTAGCGACTGGGTTTACGATTGGTAAGTAGCCTAGTTTGTCTTCCATGGAGTTTGAAAATGGTGAACGTGCTCTAAATTCTTTTAACACATTTGATGGTAATTGGAGAATTAGGCTGTTGTTACTCTGATAAGGCATGTTAGATCACAGTTAAGGTCATTCAGTGAAGTCATATAAAAAATGCTAGTATATGTTGAATAGTGAATGGGACATGGAAATGACATCACAAGCCCAAAGAAGCATGAAGTTTCTTCTAGAGTATTAGGTAGTTTAAAAGGCCAAATCCCATAATATATGAATGATTAGTTCAGTTTGATTTTTCAGTGATGATATTTCTGTATGCTTTACATGACTGTCTCATCTGAAACTTTTTCAATGCATTATGTGACTGCAGACAAGTCAAAATCTAACAATCATGTCCACTTGTTGTCAATTAAGGATTTTAGTGATAACTTAGTTTACATTTGCTCATCCATGTCTCAGTTAGAGGGTACGTGAATCTTGTTTAAGCAGATTGATAGTTGTGGGTACCTGAAAAAATCTGAGCCAGTGCCAATATCATTTAATAATGAGTAGGGGACTCACAGATTTCACCCTGCTCGAACCTGAAGACAAAACTACTTAGGAAACTGAGCCCGAAGCTGACTTGGATTCATAATTTTCTATTCACAACCTGACCTGCTGCAACCTATCTAGGTTTCCTTTTAATGTAAAGTACACAGGCTAAACCAGACATGTAGATCCTTATGGCTAATATTCATCAATTTTGTACTAAGTCTTACTATCAGCTACCAGGCTATAACACAATATACCAATTTAAAGTAATTAATACAAGTTTCTTATTAGGAGACTTCGAGAGCATTTGAAGCTGTGATGTGAGTTTTATCAAGAATTAGTTTCTTTAAACCTTGTTAAAAGCTGAGATACCTGCCCAACGATGTATTATGAATTTATAGGAGTGATCATTTAGTGATCAGCTTGAATTTGAATTTTGGACAGCTGGAGTTTAAACTGAATGACAATAGTATTATTGCTGTTGTAGCCAAGAGGAAAGCAATGAGAGGATTGTAAAGCAAGAAATAGAAAGGGAAGAGAGGTGCCTGTGATATGTTCTCCTTAACATATTTCGAGTGGTTTTCATCAGCTAAAATCTAACAAAACATTTGACATGACACAGTTTGGACTTGAAGGAATAACATTAATTGGTCGATTCTTCTTTCCAGTATATCTTAACTGCAACATCTATTTTTAGAAATCTGAGTCCATTTTGAGAATCTAAAGAACTTCAGAAAAAGTAACTGATTGGTACCTTATTAACAAAATCTTACTAATTTAGCCTCTTAAAATTTAAAATAATGATGGACATATACACTAAGTCTCTATAAAATAGAAATGATACCAAATTCATATCCAACCTATTTAAGACTTTGGTGTGAGAACTTGAGATAAGACTGGGATCTACACCCATCTTTTTAAAACCTGGTTCTATTTCTCCTTCTCGTATCTCTGCTTTTTCATTGATACTAGTTTTCAGAACAATTTTGATTGTGTAGTTTCATTGTTGGCCTTTGTTATGGTGAAAGGAGCAATAGTCAGTTCTATGGAAATAGGTTCTTAAAAATTGAGATCAAGGATGATGAGGATCAACTGAAAATTATTATGAAGCATTCTCATTCTTTGATAGTGAGGAAGATCTAGAAGATGGGTATGCATTGTAGGGTTGGTGATCTTTTGCTGAATTGTTTTGTGAAATGTGGGTACAGTATTAGCTGGATTAAGGAAAAGGCTAACACAGTTAAGCTGATTAGTTCTTAAACCAATATTTTCTTTCAGCTCACTGAATGTTGATATATACATGTATCTAAAGAAACAAAACCTTCTACTCATGACAGATGCACCAAAGTTTAGCATCAGACCAAGCTGTGGATTTGGAGTTAGAAGCGTAATGTCCTTTTGTGGTTGACAGTTTCTTAGTTTGAGTTTCTTGTACATGTTTGCAATCTTGTAGTTTTTTATTTGATTCTTTGGAGGTGATAACCATGGTATAGTAGTTCCATGCTCCTATGTAGCATCTTGTCCACCCTAATCGCACTTGTCTGTTCTTTAGTCTTGACGAATTTATCGCTTTATAAAACAATATGTGGTGTGTGGAAGTAAAAGTCCATGATCTTTTAAAGCACCAGATTTGTCAAAATTCTCACAACCATTTCTTTTTCTACCTAGGGAGTTCCAAGAAATGAGTAAGATCATGTTGGCTCCTGTGGCCAAGGCCCTAACTCCCATAGCAAACATAAGCATAGAAAGTCAGGTATTAGTAGTTCAAATTTTAATATTTGCAACTGAAACTTTCTTATACTCTTGCTGCTGTTTGTTTATTTCTTTTGTAGGTCTACATTGAGTTTTTCTTGCTAATAGTTTACTATGCATTGGCAGGTCTTATACCATACTCCAAAGTCTTCTAATTCTTACTGGGATGAGAAGTATGGTGGCTACATCTTTAGTCTAAGAGACCTTCCATTCTTTGTACGCATCTCAACCAGTCAATCAGCTATACTGTTGTCAATGCTGTACACTTATATCTTCTTTGTTTTTTCTGGAATTTTAAGAGTTTGAATCAGCTTTTATGAAGATGTAATGTCTCATTGTGTGGGAACAACATAATATTTTTTAAATGTGAATTAATTGTTTTTTTTTGTTGATTCATGTTACATATTTATCTTTTCATTAAAGGCATACTAAGAAGAACCGAAGATCTGTGCCACCTTTTAACCTTATAATTCTTGTATCTATGGATGCTTGACTGAGGCTTATTCAAGCGATGCCTCAAATATATTGACCTATTTTACAATTTTGAATCCCCACTTACTTTCTAAGTAAATGAAAATTAATAGTCACACGTTAGTGGCTTCTATTACTAGTTTTCTTGATTTAAGTATCTAATCTCTATTTTTGTTTGTTTTGAATCTTAAACCTGATTGGGAGAGGCCGGTTTAGTAAGCATTGAACCAGTTTGGTAAATTTTTAGGTTTCCATGCAACATCTGCAAAATTCAGATGATAAATTACTTCATTTTAGCTTATAAAGTTTGGTTATCATCTTTGGAAGATATATCAGCAAGCTGGTGTTTTCCTTCTCCATCCCTGGACTAGCTGAGAGATCCCTTTATGACAGTGATCTTCATTTGTATATTAGAAGTATAAATTATAGTTTGTGAAGGTGATCTTGAGTTGTGTACTAGGCTATAAATTTTAATGTGGTCTAAAGTCCAAGTAGTGGTGGTTTTTAACTTGAAAGAGGAGAGCGTTTATGGTGCTATGTCATCTTATGGACTAACAAGACTCTCTCTCCCTGTATCGCAGCCTTTAGGGGATTTTAGAAATTTGCCTTTATATGATATTTTTCTATAAATTTACCTTTTGAAACTTGTTGTTCTGAAGTACAATTTTACTTTTTGTGGTCGACAGGCTTGCCAAAAGCTCCACTTAAATGTTATTCTTTGAATGTTAAGATCATCATTTGCATTTCCTTTTTATCCTTGTCCCTCGTCTAAGCATCTGTTTTTGTTATCATGCTCCTCATGGATGTGAAGTTTGCGTTACTTGAAATTTTGGATGGATTGATAGGTAAACTCCAATGAGTGGCATCTCGATACCTCAGTTACGGCCGCTGGACGATCAAAAGTTCTCCAATTTGTGGTGTACATTCTTTCATCCATTGTTATGCTCTCTATTAGTTTCCTTACCACTTAGTTTTGGTAACTAAATTTTTATTGGATAATCACTTTCCAAATAAAATTTTTTACATTTTCTTCAAGATATCTTTATGTTGCTAGCTTCGAATGATTAGTAGTTCAGTACTCTCAATATCTTTTATATTGAGAGATAGTGTGCGGATCTCTGGTTATATTTTGCCAAAATTTGTGTTTAATTTACATTATTGTCCTGATTATTAAGCTCTACAAGTTTGCAAAAGACAGTTACTATCCATACCATGTCGGAGAGTCTTTAACTATTTTAAGTAAACGTCTTCATTTAAATCAATCTCTTAAACCAAACATAACTAAAACTATCAAAGTTGAAATGTTGTCTATGTGGGATTGAATTTATGTACTATGTGCAGCACATTGTTCTTACAAGGCCTTCAAAATCATTATCATAACTCGCTGATATTAGCTCTTCATCCACTCTCTCACTTGTCTTCATTTTGTCCCTGGTAGTTCATTATGAACCAACAAGTTGAGTAATTGCAATTATAATATTCTTGTTTCCTTTGCCATTTGGGACTGAAGTGCTCTGTGATAGGATTACCCAATATTCTGATATCAAACAACTATATAGTCATCCGCTCATGACATTTTGTTTATTTTGAGTTTGATCCTCCAAGACACAATGAAGATATACAATTATTGAAAAAAGTTTGATGTGTTGCAATAGCCAACTGTGTAACTATATAGTCGTATGATTGCCACCATTCATGATACTGTGTTGAGCTTAATGGTGGGCACCTTGGTGCCCATTCCATATTCGTTGCTAGGTCATTTTCGAGCTCATCCTCTTACCATGACAATGAACTTGTGTTTTGATCGATTCTCTAGAAGGCATTGGTCTTGGGTTATTTTTTGAAGTATTTTATTTTAAGAAGGATACTTTGAAGCTAAACATGTCATAACTCAATCAATTTCTTTCTAAAGAAATGGGAAATTCTTTTTGCTGTAACTAGATATGTGCCATCTGCAATCGAATGTCCACTTCTCTTACAGCTCCCCAATGGAGAGATCTCCAAGACCAATAGTTTTATATCTCCTGTAAGTTATGATACCTTCGTTTCCCCTTTTAGTTTCACAACTTGTTGTTCCCTTTTAATAAGAACTCATTGATGATGTTCAGATGTGGGGAGGCATTGTTATCTGGAATCCACCTCAGTGTACTGGAGATTCTCAGAAGAAGCATCTCGAGGGAAGTACCTTACCACCTCAGGTTAGAATTACAAGTTTTGCAGGTTCTATATGAACATGCTATAAGTATGACTAATGGTTGTTTGCAAAGTGTGGGTCTTTAACTCAGTGTTCAATTGGAGTCCAACACAAGATCTTGCGCATCTGGCCTAACCTAAACCACTTAGCTTTTAAGCCACCCTTGTCTTTCCAGACATTCCCAGATCTTTCTAATTTCTGTTCTTTGACTCTTCCTGGGCCTTACCCATGATCATGCCATGATAAGGTCGCTTCTTTTATGACTCATGTGTTGATAAATTTGATTACCAAATTAGCCTCTTTACTTGTTTGCATCAGGCTTTGTATGATAATTCTTCCCAGGCCCTCCATTGGTTCCATCCTTGGTGCTGAGCTGTCCTGCTAACAAATTTTCTTGATTTCAATTGCTTTGCCAAGTTGAGATATGGCTATTAGGAACCCCAAAATAAGACATTTCATTTTGGTGATTGGAGGGATGGGTCAACTTTCAGAAATAGATTAGGTGGTTCTGCAGACATTATAAAAGCAATACTGGTGGACTGTGAAAAGATTGAGAGAGGAGCAAACGTTCTTATTGATAAAGCTTCTAGAGCTGTGATTCATGGGCCAAAACCAAATAGCAATGGGTAGATGTATCTTTCTGATAAAAAAATGAATACATTGTTTTTCTGTACAGTGGTGCATGGCAAAATTGTTTGGTTCATGGAAGCTTCAATAACTTCTGACGTAATGGAGAATTTATCTTCTTGTTTTGGCCATAAAGCAACTCAATTTTCTAAAACTGATTATTTTTGAGGAACATCGTCTTCAAAAATGCACATTCATGCATGACCAAACTTTCCTGAGCCCTTATAGCCTTCTTATGCTTAACATTGTTTCTGTACATTGCAAAGACTAATAAATGTGTGTTTTGGACCAGGAACTTGAGAAGATCTTTCAAGTATTCATAGCGCAACTACGGATGCTCTTTGGTCTCACATCAAATTATATTGATTCTTCTGAAACAGAAATATCTAAATTTTTGGACAGTGAAAGAGGCTTTACAGATTGGTAAGAGAACCCTTCCACTTCTTCTCTTCTCTTTCTCTTATTTGTCCAGGTTTTGATAATTGGACAGTTGCCCTCAAAATTACTGCACATTGATTTTATATTTTAATGTTTTTGAGTTTTGATTATTTTATGTTGTTTGTGTTTAGTTTATGCAATTGACTGACAGAAGACCTTAGTTACAAATGATTATTAAGTCTTAGTTACAAGTATTTCTGAGGAGATTTACCTTCTTACAGGATCTACATAGGAATGCTCATATGCAGAATCCAGTAATCTAATTAAAGGGATTGGCTCTTTTTTTTTTTGCTCTAGGGAAAAGCTCTTGTGTTTAAGAAAGGCACATATTTTTCTCTCTGTTTGCATGTGTATCGATGTGCCTAGTAATTGTGGTCAAATAGCACTACCCTGTATTTTTTTTTCTTTGCAATGGTTTCCACCATGAGAACACGTAGCACAGCTTTTACCAACCAAACTTTCCATTACAACTGATTGTATTGGTATGCAAGCATTTTACATCAAGCTATCCAAATTTAGGTGGTTATCATTCTTTTGTAGTTCTCTTCTGCCTATTTGTGATTCATAGATGATGTTTCAGTCCATTTGGTGTCTTTGTACTCCTATGATTTCTAATGTATTCTGTTTTTCACGTTAGTGTATTGATATTGGATACTTGGTTGTAAATAATTCTCACCTTTCCAGAAGTTATAGCATCAAGTTTTATGCCCTCATTGATTTATAGCATGTAGAACATGTCATATTTTCTGTGTGCTTTAGTAGTATATGATCCAATTTGACCATAGGGATTTTTAGGGTATATAATGGATGTCTTATTGAGTATTTTTTTTCGAAGTCTTGCTAAGTATGTATATAATATGAATATGTTGTCTTTTGTAGCTTGAGAAATGCTTCGAAAAGAGAGGTTCTCTACTGATGGTATTGTTGTTCCACTTCTTGCAGGGAGTTGGATGTGCTATTTCGGCATCATGCATGTTTCAATCTGCATTCTTGCGTTAACACACTTGAGTCGCTTGCTAAATTAGTATGCTTTGACTTCATTCCTGTTCTTCCATTCTCTAGTCAGAAAACAAACAAGATAAATGTTCTTTCCCATGTTCTTATATTTTTTATCTGCTGTGTTGTTATATTAGGTCCAATCACTTCCAAGAATGATTGTCATGGATGAAATAGGAAAACAGGTACCCTGTTCAGTTATTTTAATATTGACCTGCTCAGTTTCTATATGGAGTGACACACACACCATTAATCTGAAGGAATGTTAGGTGTCAACCGATACTTTAAGATCATTTTTACGTTGATCTTTAATGTTGGTCATAATCATGTGCAGGAATTTTTTTTTCATTGTTGCTTTAGTTTGTTTTCTTTTAATGTTTGTTGCATTAGGGAACTAGAATATGTTGGAGGTTTTGAGTACATGGATCATTTATTATTCCCCTAACTCTTGGCTTGCCATATGCTACCAACTGAAGTTGTTCTAAGATTAAATATGTTTCACATTATATAGGATAGCTTAATAGTTGATATTCACGCCTGAAGGGTCAAAATCTGATTCTTCTACTATCAAGATGTAATGAAGCATATTCTTTAAACATTAGTACCCTTCTCTACAAAACATTCTAGAGTTGCTATTAAATTAGGGTGTGGCATTCTTTAGTGTCTGCCGTGTTTGTTGCATACATCAGGTTACATGTTGACTCAACTAAATATTATTTGAATTTTCAATTTTAAAGGTTCACACATGTGATTTAGAGAATTATTACTCCCACCCAAGGGAAGTACTTAATCACTGCCTGTACTATTAACACTTGATAAGTTCTTTATATTTTTTCTTGTGGTACACTGGCATATACTATATCATATTGGGATGCTGTGCTGGCACCAAAAGAGGACCAGTACTGGGCAGTGATGATAATGAGCGCTCGCGGGGTGAGGCCCGAGTTTCTTATTATAACCCAGGCAAAGTGCCTGGGCTTGGGCACCACCTAGGCGAGTGCCTGGCCTGGGTGTTGGGCAGCCCAAGCACTCACATTCACTCAAAACCCACCTCTGAGTCCAAATAGACCGAGTCAAATGGTTTATAGTAGAATTCCTTGCACCCACCATCATAGTAGAATTGTTGCCTCATGTTCTGTAGATTGAATGATGTGCTACTTTGTTGCGTACTATCTTGTCTTTTAGGTCAAGTATTCGCTTGAAGCTGCAAGTTTAGCTCAGATGAATGCCTCTCTTGGAATATATGATGCTTCAGCTGGTATGCCTTCATGAGATGCTTTGTGTTGCTGTTTTGTTTGCCTGCAACTTCATACTTTTGGTTTCTTTTCTGTTGGTGACAGCCTCCTCTAGGAAAGCAAAGGCTTTAGCAGAGGATGCATTTTTTCATCCATCGATCATGTCAATCAGTTATTCCTCCATTGAGCACTACTTTGCAATATACATGGTGAGTGATTTGGTTGAATGTCTAACTTAGCTACGTTGCAATTTTCATGTTGAATATTTACTTGAACGTCTATCTTTGGGGAATATACAAGCAGTGGATGCCAGTTCTGTGTATACAAGAATTAGCATCATCAATTAGGTTTTGAGTGGTTGGATTTGACTACACCTGACTCTGGCTACTTCAGCTGCTGGTAGTTTAACACATTATCATGAGTAGTGAACCAGATGAATTTTCCAAGTTTGTTTCAGATGAAGACCTTCATCTCCTTGGCATTGATGAAACTATATCAACCCATACATTTCTTCACATAAAGCTCTCTTTCTATGTGATCTTGGACCAGATGTCTATGTTTGACAGAATAATTGGATTCTGGTTCTTTCTTTACATAAATAGTCTTAATTTTTACAACAAACATGCATATTAATAATGTTCCTATGTGATGCTTTTTTCCAGCCTTTTTTTGCACCAGTTTCTCTTCATGTGCTGCTGGCAGCTATCAAAGAACTAAAAAGATACAAGAGGGAAAAAGCAAAATATATGGCATTTGCTGCTGACCAGGCCAGGTCTTCCTAGTTTGGTGCCTCTCTAATGTTTTGATCATGTTTGATCTGGAAAATTTGTGCTGCTTTTGCTCAAGACTTGGGAAGACGAGCAACATAGAGATGCAAGTTTTCACTCAGATCAGTCACCTGATTGGATTATGTTATTATTTATCACATGAAAAAGCACAAAAGTCTTTTGGCGTTGGGCGAGTCGCAGCAAACAACTAAAAACTTATATAACAGGGAAAAAAGTTCTAAAAGGATATCTTGATGCGAACCATGTTAATATGGATGTGGTCTTTTGCTTCCACAATCCATCGATCCAGTTATCCGTGTATAAAGTACTGCCAAGTCCGACGTCGTTAAATTGTAAGATTTATCAGTAGATTCATACTTGTAACATTTGCTTGTTTCTAAGGTTTACCTTAGTCTTGATGAATTGCCTTATTGATGGTGAAATACTGTGGTTTCATTGGTTAGATCTTGTTTAGCTAGCAGTATGTTTATCTACCGCATAAGGTTTTAGATCTCACAAGACAAAAATGTATTTGGAATTTGTATTAGTAAATGGCATTAGTAGTGAGCTTAAAGGGATCGGATTAATTAATATGGATTTTGAATTTATTGAGAGCCTCAGCCATTTCAATCTGATCGATGAAGTTTAACATAATGCCAGAATTTGTTTTAATTTGGCTTATAATTAGGATTGGAAAATGATTTGCATTTCATCATATTATCTCCAATATAGTTAGTGACAGACACAATAAACCCTATTGTAATTTCAGCAACAAAAGGGGTAACCAAAACGAGCCGCATCATTTTGCACACGACTGGAAAAGTCAGTCGTCCGAATATGGAAGGGTGCTGAAATGCTGTCCCATATTGTTGTTCTAATAATTGGAGAAATGATGAGGGAAAGGGATCAGACGGTTCTCCAATTACTTTTTCTTTGATGATGGAGAAGCTCATATTCTGTTCAACGCAGACGGTCGAATGGGTTGATGTGGAGTGGAGTGGAGGGGTCATCATCATCCTCATGTGGACTCTCCATGAGCGCCACAGAAGAGCCCCACTAAAGTGACGCACCCCATAAAGCAAATTTATGCCTGCTTTTGCTATCCATACAACCTCCTACCCCAATTGGTTTTAAATATTATTCTCTTTCGTTAGCAAATCTATTTCTTTTTTTTTATTTAATAGAAAAATATTTAAAATGTACCTAAGATATATTTAATATTTTCAATGTCATAATCGTTCAAAGGATGTATTTTAAGTGTGTATGTTAGTGTCAGTCAAATACAATGTAAATTTCACAGAATCTTGGGCCGATGATTTATCGGATCGTGATCTCGTTCTTGGGCCGAACGAACCTTATCCCAAAACCCGGCTCGGTACCTCTTACCCCACTTGGCTCACATGATTCTTTGTAGTCATTAATATAATGGCAACGGAATCGAGCCACAGAAAAGAGTGGAGCCGAACTTGAGAACAGAGAGAGAGAGAGAGGGGGGAGGGGTGGGGGAGAGATGGTGGGCCCCATCTTCTCAACAGTCACTTTTCCCAAACCCTACTGTGCGTTGCCCATCGAGATAATAAAATAAACAAAAATATCCTCCATCACCCCCTCTTCTCTCCCTCTCTCTCTGTCTCTACTCTGCCCTCTTCTTTCTCTCTCTCTCTCTGTCTATCCGTCTTTACGCCCTTCCCCTGGCTGACAAGAGCAGCCAAGAAAGAGGACAGAGAGGAGAGAAGAGAGAGAGAGAGAGAGTGTGTGTGTCTACCACCAAACCCTCTGACCCCTAGTAAAGAAGGGGGGAAACCCACACGCGCACGCACACTCTCTCTCTAGGAATGAGGAAGAGGGCGGTACTCCACTAATGGCCTCGGCAGCGTCGTCGTCTGCACCAGGGGTGGCGACTTCGGACGCGCCACCACTGGAAGTGCCGCCGTGGCTGAAGTCGCTGCCATTGGCGCCGGAGTTCCACCCCACGCTGCAGGAGTTCCAGGACCCCATCGCCTACATCCTCAAGATCGAGAAGGAGGCCGCCGCCTACGGCATCTGCAAGATCGTTCCGCCCCTCCCCCCGGCCCCCAAGAAGACCGCCGTCGCTAACCTCAACCGCTCCTTCGCCGCCCGCGACCCCGGTGGCAGGAAACCCCCCACCTTCACCACCCGCCAGCAGCAGATCGGCTTCTGCCCCCGCCGCCCCCGCCCCGTCCAGAAGCCCGTCTGGCAGAGCGGCGAGCACTACACACTCCAGCAGTTCGAGACCAAGGCCCGCCAATTCGAGCGCTCCCATCTCCGTCGGGGCGGCGGCGGAGGCGGCGGGCGCAAGGCCTCCTCCGCCGCCGCCACCGCCCCCACCGCCCTCTCCCCGCTCGAGATCGAGACCCTCTTCTGGCGGGCCGCCGCCGACAAGCCCTTCTCGATCGAGTACGCCAACGACATGCCCGGGTCAGGGTTCGCGCCGATGCCTGCTGCCGGCCGGCGCTGGCGCGAGGAGGCCCTGGCCAACGTCGGGGAGTCTGCGTGGAACATGCGGGGCGTGTCGCGTGCCAAGGGCTCGCTCCTCCGGTTCATGAAGGAGGAGATCCCCGGGGTGACATCCCCCATGGTGTACGTAGCCATGTTGTTCAGCTGGTTTGCGTGGCATGTCGAGGACCACGAGCTGCACAGCTTGAATTACCTGCATATGGGTGCAGGCAAGACGTGGTACGGGGTGCCCAGGGATGCTGGACAAGCATTCGAGGAGGTGATCCGGGTGCACGGCTATGGCGGGGAGGTGAATCCTCTCGGTGAGTCCAGCTGCTTCAACATGCTTGTTTCTGCTGCATTTCATGATAACATTTCTTTAGTTAACATTCTGTCTTCATCAGATGATGCTTTTCTTTACAAGCCTCTCTAAAAATTAGGGCTTCATTGTCATTGTTATATGAAACTTTCAAATTGGAGGAGGAAAGTAACATACATGGATGGGTTGTAGGAATTGTACCTTAGCTGGATACATATTTGACGAAACATTAGCCAATGTCTAAAGGGAAAAGGTTTTAAATCTGTAGGAGTCATACGCAAGCCTGAAAGCCCATAAGAGATCCAACTGATGGGTAACAAATATGGGAGGTTTTTCCATTGTAGATCTGCTGATTCCTGTGTTTTTACAGTATTCAAGTTGAAGGTCCATGTCTAAGGTTGCCTCTCGACAAACTAGAAAAGTATATTGTAATATCCTTTGAAGTTAGCTCAATTTCCAAGTCATGCCAAGATGCTGGTTGTGTAAATCTTGATAGGAACTTGGTGAGAAGCTTAATCAAAGTGCTCTCAGGGTATCCTTCTGATGAATTGGTGACAGTTTTTCTGATAAACATTGTATGGATTGAGATGATGCTTTTTGGATTAATATGATAGCTGCTGCTCATATAGAAATGCTTCCTACAAGAAGGTTTTTAAGGATCAAGGGTTTTATATCTCATGAGCCGTGCCTTTTGGGGCAATTTTGACATGGTATGGAATGGTCCTAAACCTTATAATGCTGTGTCTTACAGACACTGATGTGCTGAACCTCATCTGGTTGGATTATGCTCATTGGTGCATATTGCTCCATTTCATTAATTCGGAGTAGGCACATTGAATATGGATCCACGTGCTTCAGCTTGCACTTGGTAAATTGTTTGTCATGAAGTTTTGCTTCATAGTATTACTTGTTGAGTTTTGACTACTTAATAAACCTTATTGTTGTGTATGTGACTTGGTTAATTGTCTGCTGATATTAATAAGATCATGACAGTGACTTTTGCACTCCTGGGTGAGAAGACTACTGTTATGTCTCCCGAAGTACTTGTTGGAGCGGGAATCCCATGCTGCAGGTGATGTTGATGCATATACTGCTTTTGGCATATTTACTACCTTTTCCTTTTGATTTTTTTAAACTAATTAATACGTAAATTTTTGTTTCCTAAAAAGCAGGTTGGTTCAGAATGCTGGAGATTTTGTTGTCACGTTTCCTGGGGCTTATCATTCAGGGTTTAGTCATGGTAGGCCATATCTTGTTGTCACTTTTCCTTTTCCGTGTCCTATTATATAATCTAATTGTGCTGAGAAGCTGACCCATCCAACAGTTGTAGGAAGACAAAGGGAATTCGATTGGAGATAATTGAGATGGATATGCGTTAATACTAGATACTTTAGGAACTAGAGTTACATTAGAGTTAATGGAGCAAACCACAACTAATAAGAGTCAGTTATGATCGTGTTTTCAGTTTGAGGCTTAACTAATTTATAAAACAAGATCTTGATAGCAAGATGGTAAGAAACTTGCCATTTGTATCTGACTCTAATCTTCTAGGAAACTGATTTTGATTATGAAATTAAAGTACTAATTTTGAGCAGCAGAACTTATGGAAATTTACCACTTCTATTGATTATTATCTGGATTCTGGTTCTTCTTTTTATAAAGAATAACTCTGTACTAGTCTGGATTTTTAGAGTGTTGGATTTTCCTTTTTTTCTTTCTTTTTCCTTCCTGTTAAGCGTACATGCTACAAGTCTGGGTTCAGTGGAACATGGTTCACAATTTCGGTTATCAGACCTGTACCAGTTGTTGGCTGGACCAATATGGGTCCAGTATGTACCAGCATATTAACATGCAGTATGGAAGCATATTGGTTCAGCATTGAGAGGGAGGGGTTGTGAATGGGTGGCTGGGTAGAGGAGGAGAAGAAGAAAATCAGAAGAAGGAATATCATGCGGTGAGCAGATGAGCAGCGTAAGGAGGAATAAGGACCAGCAGAGAGAGAGAGAGAGAGAGATAGAAGCGAGTGATCAACTGAGAGAGAAATAGATCGAGAATGAAAACCTAAGACACTCAAAGCCTCAAACTATATATATTTAAAATAGACATCTAACTGGGAGTGGGCTGCAAACTGGACTGGACCGGGTGAATAAGCTTGGTCCGCATACCAATTCGGCCTTGGACCAATAAATACCATTGGGTATGGTGTGTGCTCGTCTGGGCAAAGTTAAAAACCCAGTGGAGGGAAAATAAGTTTGTTATTGGAGCTCTAAGGGAAGATTTGGTGATAGCACAACAAAATTCATATAGTAACTGTGTGCATGATATGTCAGGAGCTCAAGCTTGTGCAGATTTTGCAAAAAAAGAGGTTTTCAACTTAGTATCATAAATGGACATTTTAGTGAAATGGGATCCGTGCAAACTGTATGGCAAAGACTCTAGTTTAAATGAGTTGCTTATCTTTTTTCTTAGGTTGCAAGCCTCAGCATTCTAAGTTTCTAAATGCTGTCCTCTTACTTTATTGTTCATCATTGTCATTGTTGGTTCCTAGATTTAATGGCAACTGAATAAAGAATAAAATTTAAATGAAGAGATGTTTAGTGAAGTCTAGGAAAAGAAGGATGTTACTGAATTTGCATTACTGTAAAGCTTCTATATGATAAACAAACAAAGAAACATTTGTAGCATTATTTGTGCACCAATGGTATCCTTCTGCAGTTGATCAGCAATCTGTATGCAAAGGGGTGAGGATAGAAAGTGCAGGGGTATATGATATATGAAATTAGTCTGAGAAGTATACCACTTTTCTTTGGTATCATCTGAAATAATTTTGTTATACACAGTTGCCAACTGTTAAATGAAACTTCAATTATTAGCTGATCCGGGTTGGACTTTCAACATAGTGGTGACAATTAAAAAGACTGATTCGGCTTTTAGCTGTTGTACATCAATCAAGATTATGACTAAATCCAATTTAGGTCTATATCTGAGTTAAGACTGACTGAATAATATGTTTTTAGTTGGCATCTAAAATTATAATTTCTTGATCCGTATGATATCTTTAACCTACATGCTCCATCATCTTACTAATTTCTAGTCATTATGGCTTTGATATACTCACTGATATTTGTATCCTCTGAAAATAAGAATTTGTTTTCACCTCACCAGAATTTTATGAATGATTTTGGTTTATATTATTTTTTTCTGATGTATGCTGAATTAATTTGCACTTTGGTTTTATTACTCGCATTTACTAGAGCCAGTTCATTTTTTTTCTTCATAGGATTTAATTGTGGGGAGGCAGCAAATATTGCTACACCTGAATGGTTAAGATTCGCCAAAGAAGCTGCAGTTCGGAGGGCTTCAATAAACTATCCTCCTATGGTGTCTCATTTCCAGTTGCTATATGCACTGGCACTGTCTTTATGCACAAGGTTTGGCCTGGCTGCTTGATTATATTTGTTTTAGTATTTTATATAAGTTTGCACTTTGTCTGTCATTTTGTATGCTAATCTTGTAATTCTGCTTTCTTTCTTGTTAGCATTTACTCTTCTTTGGTATAAGTTGTTTTTTGTCATTAGTTGTCGGTTGTAGCATTAAGAAGGAATATCATGATTGGAAGGAGATCAACACACCACTATACAGCAAAAACTTGTTGCACAAGGGATAATATACACTCGTGTATGACTGTTGGTTGTTGGGAAACAAAATACTACTAGGAAGATTGAAGTATAGTGTATTGTTCTTACTTTGTGCTCTTGTCCATTAAAATCTTTCTCCTGGCATCCTTACTCTATTTTTTATATTGCATCATCCATTGAGTTTTTCTGCCTAATGTGGTGCTAAAGAGGAGGTCAGACTATCTTGTCAAGATTGGATTCAATTAAGTACTAATCTGAACAATGATGAGTCAATAATTCTTGGGTTTTAATGTCTTTGATTGTTTCCTTTGTGACACATTACCTATGCTAACTTTTGAGGATCTCAAATGATTGTTGATTAAGTAATTACTTTTTTGTAGCACATTGAAGGATGAGGTTACTAGTGTAAAGGAAATAAAGCAATTGTGGCAGTAATTGGTTGGAAGATGAGATTTCAAGCACATGTATACTGACTGTGAATTAGACAAATGTGTCGAACTGCCAAATTCCACCTTGCATAATTGAAAACCTTGCCAGTTAGATATAGTCAGAATACAAGGATCTAGAACTGCTAAAGGAGTATTTGATGATAGATGAGTCCTTTCTCCATCAGTGGGGGTCATAGTGCACATGATTTTGTTGTGGGGTCGACGACATGTAAGGACAAGCAGATGGTTCTTCATATTGAAAAGCATAAGGAACTTAAGCTCAGAGTTATGACCCTGATGAGGCTTGGATTGAACCCGTTGGTTGCCTTATTGGACCGTGAAGAATATATTTTGAAAATAAGATAAATAAGGTAAATGCCAGAGAAGACAAAAAGCATAGTGGAACTAATTGAACGTTAAGCCTCAAAAACACATGATGGTCAATATGGCAAGTGATCACTGTTTTACAAGTACTGAATTGGGTATATCGGGTGCCTCAACAATTCTTATAAGGAGTAGTGGTATGTATAGTAGTACCATGCTGGTTCAACAAGGTGCCACGACTGGTGTTGGAGCAAGGTTTCACACCTTGGTTTGTCTTTTGGGACCCAGATTGCAAATGTTGGTTTATCTTTTGTGTATTTCATTGACTGTTAGCTGTTTTGTGTTTTTTCCCCGGTGATGTCGGAAATGTTTGCTTAGCTTCCTATTATTTGTTTCAGGGATTTGTTAGAACTTAGTTCACCTGATTTGTATTTGCACCCACAAGGAGGTTCTTAACTTGACATGTATTCACTATTTAATCGAATCATGTGCTTCTTCTGCGTTCTGCTTTCTTCATGAAGGATTATTGTGTTATAAATTTTATTATAGTCATGAAATCTCATAGTTCGTCTGTTTTTTAGTTTGATAAATACAAATTCCCTGGATATAGTTACCCATATGGTGCTTTGAGTGCTAGAAAAATCCTTATTTTTCTTAAGATAGTTTAAGGAAGGTTTTCTCAATAAGTTTTAAGCCCTATCACATCGTTTTATGTATTGTTTTTCCTTTTACAGGATGCCAATAAGTGACGGAAGTGAGCCACGAAGTTCTAGATTGAAAGATAAGATGAAAGGAGACGGAGAAGAGATGGTCAAAAATGCATTTGTTCAAAATGTGATCCAAAATAATCACCTACTTAGTGTTCTTCTTGACATGGGAGCATCCTGTGTTGTTCTTCCGAAAAAAGCACCTGAAATTCCTTTATGTTCTAATTCACTTGTTAGAAATCAAGTCAAGGTAAAGCCAAGATTATCACATGGCTTATGTAACCATCAGGAAGCTTTAGAAGCATCACGAATTATACCTTCCAATGATGCTGGTCTGGGCTTGAATGCAAGGGTTAGAGACTTCAGTGGGTTATTTTCATTTAGAGGAAATTCTACATCAGTAGAAAATGGTAATATGATTTCATCAGGCTCATGCAACAAATATTTTCGTGCTGATCTCTTCTCTTCCTCATCTGATTCACAAAATTTGGAAGGTGAAAAAGAAGGGACGATACAAGGCAACGGGTTGCTAGATCAAGGACTATTGTCATGTGTCACATGTGGGATTTTGAGCTTTGCATGTGTGGCTGTCATTCAACTAAATGAGGCAACAGCAAAATATCTTATGTCTGCAAACTGTGCTTTCCTTAATGATCATATTATTGGCTCAGGAGAAGTTAGTGGCATAAGCGGAGATACAAATTGGAAGACCAGCAGAAACAACCTGATTACTGACATTGGTAAGCAATAGCATCAACTCTATGTTGTGAACTTTTATTTGAATTATTCATTAAATTTTTAGTTGATTTGTAAGACATTATATTACACTTCAATATATTGGTATTAAATATACTTGTATTAGCACATACATGGAATTAATTTCAATAACACGTTTTTCTGGTCAAACAAAAATAACCTTCACATCTTGTGATTGAATTGTGTGTTCTTAAGTTAAACTTTTTATTGCTTATGAACTATGAGTGTACAATAGATGATGAACTATCAAAATATATCAATTGTTGAAATTGTTAAAAATTGTAGCATCCATATCCTAATAAATTATGTTTCATATAATCGATGAGAATTTTTTCACCATAATTCTAAGGTTCCGGCAAATAGGAGGCCACCTTGTGGGATTCATGACCAGCTACCAATATGCTGATATTGTGCTGAATACCTATTGGGCGAAAATTCTGTCAATTACCAAAATTTTCTTTATTGTCCAGCATGTAGCCTTAGGCTACCTTATGGCATCTCTTGATAACATACTTTACCTTGAGAGAGCGAGTAAGGGGAAAAACTACAGTTTTCTCATTTGGAAGGAGCTTATAAATTAGAGTTCAGCAATGCACACTTTTTATCATCTGTACAGGACTCAACAGTGTATCTGTCCTAGCTTTTCTAGATTTTTTTTGATCATATGTTTCTAAACTCTTAGATACATTGAACTGTCTAAACTTTCAAATTTGTGGAAATGTTCTTCATATATGAAAAAATGGGTGAATGACGGGCACAGAATTATATGGTACATGCTTAAAAAAAAGGCCTCCTAATCACCTTTCAGCAAAAAATAAGAAAGTTGGTTCATGATTACTGTCAAACTGAAGTTTCTCTTTTTATAAAATTTTAAAATATGTCATACTCTAGAATTGTAGGCTTCTGCCAACCAGGAATTTACTCTTGCACGTTGAGGAGGGTTTTCCTGAGTCGATATTTAATAGTTTTATTAACCAAATTATTAGACCTTAAAGGACACTTTGGAATAGTAGAATTTAGTGAAGAATCAAACATCAACAAATCTCCCTTGATATTTATTGTTATCTTTATGCTGTACATGTTACTATTATTTTTCTGCCGGCTTGAGCAGCAAGGAAGCTCAGATTGCTGAGTGTCTGTTGGACCATAGACAATCCTAAGATTGGGTGTGAGGATCACGTGAACTGGTCTACATAACCTTCAAATCAGAAGTTAAGACTGATATGATATGTTGGTATGGGCTTGTAGTCTGACCTACTGGTGTAGACAGTTGTTGCTTACACTCTGGACAAATGGAATTGCAGAGGAAACTGAGGGATAAAGTAAGAAATACATATTAATGGTATTAAATCAGACCTGTTGAAGCATTCTTTTCCCTGTTGAGTGTGCATCTAAAGATTTTCTCTTCCTCTGCATTTTGTGAGGGGTCTTGCTGATGAAAAGATTGAGACAGATCACTAGCGTGAAAAAAATCTTGAAGCAGTTTTAAAATTCTTTAACTGGTTGAAACAATAAAAATAATAATGATTAGATAAACACATTTGTTGGGGTTTAGGCTGGTCTGATAGAAATCAAGTGGTATTGGGCATTCCACATACCAGCTTACTCTCTAACTGAGTAATACCAGTTCACGAGGACCATACTAGACAGTTTTTAATCACTTGAATGAAATTATAAGTGCAAGCTAGAATTCGAGCTCAGAGAACAAAACTTTGTCTTTATTTATGTAATCGGCCCAACACATGTGGTGTGGGAATTTTTTTTAGTTATAATTCATAAACCGTTAGCATTACTAGCAGTACAAGTCATAACCGTAATTTGTTGTGAGAAGTAGTTAAAAATTTTCTGAAGTACAAAACCACCTCAGTTATCAATATTGTATGAAGTATGATATATTTTGCTACAGTTGTCTAGTATCAGATTACCAACAATTATACTATCTGTTATATAGTGCCTTATATTTTCTCTTCATTACCTTGTTGTTCTTTATGATTTGACCTTTTTTATTTTCATTCATTGCCAAATCAATTACTGAACTTTTCTGACTTGTGATTTTATCTGGTCAAACCAGGTAGTATTTTCTTGATACATCTAGTTTTCTCTTTGACGTATTTCTTTCTTTTGTTATAAAGCTTGAGTTGAATATTACTTGGTGTTTCTTTCAGCAAATTATTGTAATTTTACTTTATTAGCTACATGTTTTTTGCAGTACAAATTGGAATTGATGTTGAGGATAGAGTGGATGATAACTTCGTTTATTGTAATATTCAGTTCAGGTTTCGGACCAGAGCATGGAAATAGTTTCTGATGTTACATGTCCGAGAGGTGCTTCTGCACTTGATCTTTTAGCTTCTGCTTATGCGGATTCATCAGACGTTGAGGATGAAGATATTCCACATGAGAAGTTTATGTGCTTTGATAAAAATGGCATGAATGAGTCCTCAGAAATACATGGTGCCATTCAGCACTTCAAAACTGCAATTGAACCCCAAGTCCTCTGTTCAAGGGAGGTTGCACATGAGGAAACATACATGCACTTGGATGGAGCAGACAACCAAATTGGTATGTCTGCTCAGAGTTCTCGTGTTGCTGATGTATCAGATACTTTAAATGGACATGCTAACGATGTTGTGGACAACAGTTGCCAACAAAAATCAGAGTTCTCTAGCATGAATCAGCTAGAAGATAGTAAATTAGTAAGTATATCTGATTTAGAGGATAACGGGGTGATGGCAACTTCTAATGCTTCAGTAAAGTTTGTGGAGGAGCCTAAAGATGTGCATGTCAGGGACCTAGATGATGATTGTCAGAATGCTGGAACTACTGAAATTTATTGCAGCAGCTTCAAGTCAACTTCTGTTTCGACAGAAATCTCTGTCAATCATGATTTCTGTGGCAACCCAGTTGTGCCAGAAAAAAGTACAGCGATGCATCCAGAATTAAGAAATGTTGATCCAAAAATGACTAGCTCAACAGGATTAGTTATGCAAGGATCTGACAAAGATTCTTCAAGAATGCATGTATTCTGTCTTGAGCATGCTGCAGAGGTTGAAAAACAACTTCAGCCGATAGGTGGGGTGCATATGATGCTTCTTTGTCATCCAGGTGATTTCTTGAATTGTTTAAATGTGCTTCTCCAATAAAAATGTTTTATGTTTATTTGCTTTTTGTTCTTTAATGCTTGTCTATAACATGTTTATGTCTGTGTTCTTTGGTTGCTCCTTTTCGTGATATTCTCTATTGGATTGATTTTGATGCATTTAATTGCATTAATTGGTGAAAGAGTTATTTTTAAGATTATTGGAAGTACCATGATAAAATATCTTGCAAAATACCCTTGTTCCTTTTTATTTTTGACATCGATGAGTTATAGATTTCTTTGAGGTTTAACCAACCTTTCATAAGAGTGGACATTGTGATTCATGACATGATGTGCTGAAGTATTTGATCATGGTATGATTGCTAAAGGATGTTACAGACAACTTCAATTTCTAAATCAAATTTGCAAAACTAGAAACACCTCTTGATGTGTGATTCATTGCATGATTTACTTGAGTGTTTGACTTTGCTAAACATACAATCCTTCATTTTATAAATCAAAATTTCACTACTAGAAACTTTTCTTGTTCTCTCTTTCAGGTAAAATTTATTGTATGAAATTAGTTAAGGTTGATAAAATTTAATGCCTAAGAATTGATAACAAAGATAAAATCAATGCATCGTATAGTTTTATGTGAGCAGGTATCACATGTATGTCAATGTCTAAGAAATATCCCTCCATAACTTGTTATATGTTGGTCTGAGTAATATGTAGCCTAGCTTTAGGCTTATACTCTGAAGTTGATGCAAAGACTTAAAGGAGATTCAGAGATTAGCCTTACAATTTATATCATTCCTTGTGCAAAGAAGGGTGATCATTAAGATGATGGAATATCTAACTTATGACAAACTGGATACTGCCATTGTGCCAGGTGGAAGACAAGAGAGGGGTTGGGGGAGGACACAACTGGCTTGTTCACTTTTGTCATTAAAGGATGGAGGGATGACCAATGAGATGAAGGGATGCATCAAAATGTCCTTAAAAGAAAGTAGACTGTTGACGCTAGACCTCTCTTTATGTAATGGTGACTTGTTATGAACTAGCAATTAGGATGTCAAGGCCAGAGGTGAACCAATCCTAAAGGAATTCATTTGTCCAAGGAATCATGGATGTGGATACCATCATACGTGATCATTATTACTCAGCAAGCTTGATATCGATTAAGCTCAGTTCCCAGCCTTCCAACAAGTATGTCTTGATGTATAAATGACTGGTGCTACTGTTTATAATCTGAGTCAGGTTTTCTGTAACTTGGTGGGCAGCAATAGGGGAACGAAGTAGATAGTTTTCTTGTGAAAGTAGGGTATTATAAACCCTACATTGGGATGCCAACTTGTTTATTTACTAGTGAAGCTGTTTTGTTGGTTTTTACACCAATAATTAGTTAAACTTTATGCCAAATTAGATTTTATCCAATGCATCTCCTATGGGAAGATGTTTAATAATAGGGTAGTGCCCTTTCATTGATTTCAACTCCCTTGCATGTTGCCAGAGAAAGTTGCATGTTTAGGTGCAGGAAAAGTTATTACATTGAAAACGTATAATGTCTGGAAGTTTATGCATGTGTCCAGAGAAAGTCGTTTGTTAGCTGCTAGAAAAGCTGCTGTATTGAAAATACTTAATGCCAGGAAATTTAGGTTGATTTGTGCAACATACTTTATCCATCTTCCTTTGAAGTACCTCTGATGTGGTATAGTAGTGAAGTTGGCCTTCAACTGTGTGTTTGACAGAAATCTCTGTACATTTGCTTTGGGAAACTAGGGAGTGCTGTTTTGCTGATGTGTTTTGATCTTATTAGGTCTGATATGTGGAATTCCCTGCTAGATCATTTTTTTACTGATGCCCGTGTTCTGGAATAAAGGTTTCTCATAAGATTTGAGCAATGCTTCCATTGGTAGCTTGTGTTGGTTTATTCCTGATTCCTGATTTTACATTAGCTTTTCCAACATAGGGTTGTGCCAAATTTCCTAATTCTCATTGCAACTTGAATGTAATTTATTTGATGTGATCATTCTTACTGTTCATATGACCATTGGAGGGAGAGTCTTAGTGTCACTGTAAGGTTGCACTTCTGTGACATGTGTGACTAGGTTTGAGTCCTGGAACAGTCTCTCCTCTTGCAGGGTAATGCTACTTGCATTAACCTCCAAGATTGGCATCAGTGGAGGCTCTTGCACCAGGTTGTCCTTTTTTTCTAATTTGCCATTGGTTACGAGTTGTGTCAGCTGCAAAATACAGGCCCATTTTGCCAAACTAGCAACAGTTGCTTTAACTTGAATCTTGCACTAGAAAATACAGGTCTTGTATTATACTTGAAATGCACTGATGTCATCCTTTGGTATTATATTGTCTTCAAACTTTATATAGGTTTTCTACCTTTGTCATTGGTTGTATTGAAGTGATATAAACTTGAGTGATTTATGTTGTAAATGGGTATATTTCTCTCTCGAGAACATTCAACCGTTGATGAAGGTCCATACACAATTAACACCTGAAACACAAGTTTGAGCTGCATAATAACTGTGTAAATGGTTCTTTCATTCAATCGACAGTATCCTTTTGTATTTGTTTTCTAATGTGAGTTCTTTATGGACATGTAAACATATGCAGACTATCCCAAAATAGAATCAGAAGCAAAGTTGTTGGCGGAAGAACTAGGAATTGGTTATATATGGAAAGATGTGAAGTTCCGGGAGGCAAATAAACAAGATCAAGAAAGAATCAAAGTGGCCTTAGAGGATGAAGAAGTCATGCCCATGAATAGTGATTGGACAGTGAAACTGGGAATCAACCTGTATTATACTGCCAACCTTAGCAAATCTCCCCTCTACAGCAAGCAAATGCCATATAATCCAATTATATACAAGGTTTTTGGTCGCAATTCCATGGGTAACTCCCCTGTAAAGCCAAAGGCCAACGGGAGGCGCCCAGGAAGACAGAGGAAAATAGTTGTTGCTGGTAGGTGGTGTGGAAAGGTTTGGATGTCAAACCAGGTCCACCCGTATTTAGCCCACAGAATGGAATCTCAGGAGCAAGAACATACAGAAGAGCTTTATTCACTTGATATCGATCAGAAGCCTTTGATCGAGATAGATATTGAGCATTCCAGCAAAGCATCATCCAAAAGGAACTCATCAGGTAGTAGTGTGGCAACAAAAAATTCTGGAAAGAAGAGGAAGAAGCCTTCGAGCAAGGCAAAATCCAAGAAACGCAGATGCACCATGGCAGATGCAGATTCAAAATCTGAAGATGTATCCGGAACTTCTGCATCCTCGCTGGGGAGAACTTTGAGAAGCAACCATCGCAGGCAGAATGTAAGCACTAGCCTACAGAAATCGAGTTTGAAAGATGAATCAGGAGGCCCTAGCACGCGTCTCAGGAACCGATCATCCAAGTGTGAAGAGGTTAAGAAAAAATTAGCTATCAAGAAGCAATCTAGAAAGAAGAAAGCCAATACTCCTCAAACTGCAAACCTTGCACTCAAGGATGAGGAGCAAGAATTTACATGTGATATTGAGGGGTGCACTATGAGCTTCAGCACGAAGCAAGATCTAGCCTTACACAAGCGGGACATTTGCCCTGTTAAAGGGTGCGGGAAGAAGTTCTTCTCACACAAGTATCTAGTGCAGCACCGGAAGGTGCACATGGATGACCGGCCCTTGGTTTGTCCGTGGAAGGGGTGCAAGATGACATTCAAGTGGCCATGGGCACGAACTGAACATATAAGGGTGCATACTGGTGATCGCCCTTACGTCTGCTGGGAACCAGGGTGTGGCCAGACATTCCGGTTTGTATCAGATTTCAGCCGTCACAAGCGCAAAACTGGCCATTCGGCAAAAAAGGGCCGAAGATGACCAAGTATGAAGACGATGGAGTCTCATCTGATGCAGGAGGAGAATCTGGCGGTTGTACATTAATGTTCTTGATTAAAATTGTTATCGCTTGTTGATCAAGATAGGGTAGGAGCCTAGCTGCATTTTCTTTTTTTGCCTTGGTTAGTCAACACTAATCTTTCTATCATTAATCCAATCAATTCGACATTGATTTCTAAGTTATCTAATCAATCAGATGAGACTGATGTCGATGCAGATGTAGACATAGATGCCTGTTTTGAACAATCAGCCAGCAGCCATGAAGAACATGCCTAACATAGCTGCTGCTTAGAAGCTTGTTTGATTATGTTGATTATTTCTGTGCAATAACTGACACTCATGTATTGGGTTGCATTTAATTCCAATCTATCAATGATATGTTAGTAACTTCAACTTCTCCATTCTGTCTCCAATCTATTAATAGCATAGAGCAGGAGAGAGCATTGCCAGTTCAACATATGCATATTGGTACCCCTCCCACCCTTCTCTTGATGCATAATCATCCATTGCATGTTGATATTATCTGGAACTCGTATAGCAGTGATTAGATTGCTAGTTTAGGTCAATGCTAGTATGTGCTAAAGATACTTAAACCTATGAATATGTATTTCCAATATGTTGCTACTTCTGCACTGTCTTTTTTCTTATCATTTGTTTTGCTCCATTAATCATTAGGTGACTTGTGTAAGCAACTTCATTAAAGATTCTTCTTCTTACTTGGGTGAATGGATTTAAGGAGATGGTTGAGACCATTGAAACCTGAAGAATCATGCATGCGTCAAAAGAAGGGAAATAGAAACTTCAATTTGTTCCACTGGAGTGGGCATATGATTGATTGATCTATTGTCAATATTTTCCCAGTGTATGAATTACATGATATTTGCCTTCAAAGTTCATCCTTGAAAGATTGGCTGATGTTTTGATGGGATAAGAAGCTTCCGTGGCGATGCCACACCGCATCCTGATGTAGCCTCGCTCTCCCCACGAGTTCTTCACCCGAGCGGTGTCGTCTTCGTCCCCGGAGACGGTGCACGTCGGAGCCAGTGGACCAGCTTCGTAAGTCCTCGTTCGCCATGTCGGCGAACCCGTTGAGCCCGAGCTTGTAGGGAGTCTCCTTATTGTTGAAGGCGTGGATGAACTCCTCGTTCTCCCTGAACTCGTCGAACTGCTTCCGCGCCTCGTCGGGGTGCCGCGACACCCTGTGGTGGCTCCGCCACCGCTCGTACGAGTCCCACAGGCTCTCCTCCGACGCCAAGTCCTTGTCGCCGAACGGGATGGCTCGCGCGAACGCAGAAGCGAGCACCGGCGAGAAGACGCTCTCCATCGTGCCCACTTTACAGGGAATCCATGGAGTGAAGCTTTGGTTGTTATAGAGGGAGAGGAAGCTTGCAACGAGAAGCTTCCTCTTTACTTAAATTTCTCTAATTCTCCTCGTATCATAATACTAATTATCTCACAGACCATATTATCTACATGTTAATATCATCATAAGAAAAGCTGTAATCAGATGTGGCAATGCAAAAGCCACTTGCACAGGAAAAGTAGAGTGATAATGCAAGCAGGAGAGTTGTAATTGAGATTTCATTTAATAGGGATGACAAAATAATAGAGTGATAATGCAAGTAGTAGAGTTGTAATTGCTGGAAAACAAAATAATAGGGATGACAAAACATCGTCCAGTTTGATCCCGAAGTCACGAATCCATTGTAAGATCTCATATTGGGGTGGGAGAGATGGTTTGAGTGGACAACCGAGATGGTAGGTGGACTCCTGAAGTGTTGCAAGGTCTCGACGATTGATCCACGATCATCTCAGGGAGCGACTTATCTGTTAGAGGAAGCTCGAGGTTGTCCCGAGGTGTGTCTTGACCTTCTGGAAGTGTTTAGAATCACTCTGAGGTGCTCTTTAGGCATGTCTAGGTCCTACATAAACGATTAGCGTCAGGAGATATCTCGATCCGACCCTTTCGACGCTCAAGTCAATAGAGTAGGTGCAGAGAGTTTAGTAGCTCAAAAGAGTTCGGATAGAACCCGCTTGCCCCTATTTGGTTTGGGGGCTTGGGTTTTATACCAGAGCGGTTGATGACGTGAGACCAACGATAAGTTAGGATGTCTTTTACCCGACTTAGGGATCATCGATAGTGGTAGCTGATGAGCACGTCCTTCGAAGGATGACTATGATGATATGCTTTACCAGGACTCTTGGCCTATCCAGGGGATGATCCCCTGTACCGTTCGTCCCTAAGGAAGAGCTAGGGATGTTGAGCCATGGTGTTTGGTTTTAATGCGGACAAGCGTTCTCTTAGGAGTGGGCCTAATTGCCCATGCCTTTGCCTAGGTGACGGGACGAGTAGACAGCACTTTATTTTTCCTATCAACAAGGACGAGTTGGTAATGTTATTTTCCCTATCAACAGCCAACCAGCGCTGTGTAATTGTGCATGCGTCAACTGAGCTAACAAGCAAAGACACCTTTGAGGATTTCTTACCACAAGGGACTGACCATGATTCAGAAAACAGAACAAAGAAGAACGAACATTTCTTGATTGCCATTCCAACAGAACGAAGAACAAGATTATGAGGAGATGATGATCAAGCAAAGAGGAAACCTTGATCACATAAATCAACCCCATGATTCAAAACACAGAACAAAGAAGAAAGAACATTTCTTTATTGCCATTCCAACAGAAGGAAGATAAGGTGAGGAGATGATGATCAAGTAAAGAGGAAACCTTTATCACATAAATCAACCCACATGCTCTGTTTAGCAAGAAAATTATGTGCATAAAAGGAGCTGTTTAAACTGTCGTAGCCAATAAAGAAATAAAAAACCCGAAAAGATAAGAGATGGAATACACCCGTTTTCCGAATTCAGATGCTTTGGCTGCAGGCAACCTCAACACACCATCAAATAAGTTCGCAAAGCTTTCATATAACGGTTCTATCGTAATTCATAAGTTTTTCAAGATTGGCAGTCCCAGGCTTGCCAATCTACCCTAGAATCATAATGGTATCTGGAAGTATCAACAAACTTTCATCAAAACATCCATGCTGGACACAAGTTCTTTAGTCCTTAATCTCAACAATGTGACGACCGATGCAGAGCTCAAATTCCCTAAAGCAGGAAAGTGTCTGAGGCCGCCATAAGTTTTGTATCTAGGTAAAGTGGCAAACAACTTAAACTGCAGAACTTTTCTCTCTAAGATTGTCATATAAGCTATATGGACAAGCGAAAATGGGCAAGTATTCTGGTTTCTGGTATAAAATCTAGATAGATGAGTGTGCATCAAGAATCAGAAGGTGCAGGTATATATCTGTTGAACCAGTAAAATGACAGAAACATGGTGGTTCTTAAGACAAAATGGACAAAACCGTACTTCCATTAAGTTAAACAGAATGTTGATATGGGCTATTATGATTAAACAAGAAGAAGATCAAATTGCTTCATAGTATAAGCAGCCATAGAAGAAGAAAACCAGTAGAACAATAGAAGAAAGAACAAAGAAGAACGAGAAAAGATAAGGAAAACAAGGAAACAGCCAAAATTTTTGTTCTATTTGATGCGATAAAGACTCAGTTCATCAACCATTTGCTCCACCCCTCCCTAAAAAGACATCAGGTTCTCTTTTGCAAATAAATGGTCCTAATGAGACCTGGTAAAAAAACAATTCACTCAAGTCTCTTGTTGTTTACTCGATCATTAGTTTAATAACTGATAAACAGGATTGAACGTGAAACATGACAACTCATAATCTATGCTGTATTAGATCAGAAAATGAGAAAACTGCATCTTCAGCTAAAGTTTCTCGAATGCTGGATACTAATCAATATAGTCTTTTGCCTAGAACAACCAACTCAAAACCATGGTCTTGGCTTTCTTGATTTGTTTTGCCCATTACCTGCATTAAGTTGCCTTCATATTGACCCATCACAGAGGTCAATGACTATCCTGTGGGGGCTTGCAAAAATGACAAGGTCCCAATATTCTATCTACTTAGGTATATAACATCAAACAGAACCTCTTATGAGAATTTAATATAAAAATTGCACCAAGAAATGAAGTGCAGTTACCACCATTCATGTCAATTAAGCAACCTAGCTAATGAAAGCCTATCTTCATCTCCAACTTAACGGTTATTTCTGGCAAAAGTTAACATCTACAATATTCCATAATCATTTGACAGAATCTTCCTTCACAGGTTCATTATAACTAACCACATCAGATTGCTCTCACTTTATGTTGACTCATAATCTAGGTCAAGGCTCAATTGAAGCAGATTACAACCTTGATATATTCATTAAGATTCTATCCTTTTCAGGTGTCCTATTATCTTTCTCACAAAATATAAATTTTAGGTATGGTTCCAAGTGAGAGCAATCTTTTCTAAGATATCTCTTAGACTTATATATATATACCAAGGCATTATATATGTCCTCTGCTTGGATGGTCAAAGCATTTTTGGCTGATCAAAACTTCTAATACCGAATGATCCGTTATATATTGTGAAATGATGGGAGGTAGAGGTACAATTGATTTAGGGATCAGTTGTTATTGCTGCTAATGGCTACTTTTAATATTGAATAGCTTAAACTGCAGTTGACAAGGCATTCTTTCTACAACAGGATTAGCCTTACAGGTCTCGGAACAAGCACTACAAAAATTTATCAATTAAAAAAAAACCTAAAGTTTAATTCGAGTTTCAGCATAAAAATAACAAATGAAATAGACAAGGGCCAAATCCTAGAGCCAACAAAATCAAGTGAAATAGAGCATAAGAAAAACAATTCATTAAACATAAGTCATTTCTGCGGCTTTATCCTTGGCACAGAAACATAGACCATTCTCATCTACAACTTATAGTTCTATAACCACACAATTCATCCATGGTTTGCTATAAGAGCTACCAAACCATGACACAAAACAAACCTTTTAACAGAAAAAAACCCTAGCAGTGCATACAGGAATCATAAGCTCTATTTCCCTGTCCACAAATGTGGAGAATCAGGCAAACAGGGTAGCCAAACATTACATATCATGTCAAGTTATAGATTCTTGTTGACCGAAAGGCACTCCGCAGAACATTTGCTCAAAGCCACAAATTGAGCCATTGTCTGTGTGCAGGTAATGCTACAGCATCCACATCACAAATAAGCAAGAGAAAATTAAATCCAGTTATCAGTAGATAGATACTGTTGACGGATATAATAAGGTATCACATGGATGCAGCAAAAAGACATGGTCATAAATATGGAATTAGAAGTTGTTACACATCGTTTTAGAATGAGTTGCGATTTCTTCCTTAAGGTGAAAGAGTTTACTGAGGAAAGATTGCATTGACGAAGTTCCGCAATATACTGTATCCTGAACCAATAAATGGGTGTAATACTTCTCCTACCCATCTTATGCTTTCTAAAGGGCGCAATCAATCAACCACATCCAAGTCAAGATAGACGCAAAAGCTAGGAAAACTTGGAACTTTAATCTGATAAGCTCTAACCAGATCTATTTTGCCTTGTAGCGGAGTCGCTTCCTCAACTTCCTTTGCTTGTGCTTGTTCATCTTCCTCTTCCTCTTCTTCTTCACGCTATCTGCCCACACGGTCGTCGTGCCGCCGCTGCCGTCACCGTCGAGATCGGCCGGTCCATCTGGCGAGGGGACATTGATCGGGGCGGCAAGGAAACAGTGGGGGAAAGCAGGGTACGCCTGAAGGGTGTGGCGTAGCGAGGGCGGCGGCGCTCCTCCGGCGGCGGCATCGGGGAGAGGAGGGAGGAGAGGCGATCTTTGGGGAGGGTTTTGGTGCGGGAGAGGAGAGAGATAGGGATCGGGAGTAGGGAGCTCGTCAAAAGAGACGAGGAAGCGGAGAGCACGACGAGGAGGCGGTTTCTTGAGGAGGAGATCGCGAAGGAGTGACGCCATTGAAGAGGGAGGAGAGAGAGAGAGAGAGAGAGGGAGATAGGGAAGGGCCGAGAAGAGGAGAGGGTTTTTGATGGGAGTCGGGATTCGAAGTTGAATCACGAGTCGACTCGGCGAACCGAAACTTGGCCACGACGGGAGCGCATTTTGAGTCACGAGTCGACTCGGGGAACCCAAGCTTGGCCCGAATCGGGTCGGATGTGAGATTTGCAACCTTATTTGTGTATGAATTGGAATATCTTTTATAATGTTAATTGACTTTAGGAGGACTAACAAATAATAAATACTTCACATCAAATCAATAAATTCCTTAAGGCAAATAATATCCAAAATGCCAAATCAAATAAGATATTTCGTATATAAGCTCTCGATGGATATGTATGTAAGCGATTTAAGACAGTCAATTATAGATGTTTTAAGACAATATCTGACTCACATAAAAAATATGAACAACTACAAAAATTACATATATTGTCTCCTAAACTAAATTAAAGTTCCATGTATATATATTCTTATAAAACTCAAAAAGATTTATGGATTAGAAAACCATGAAATTGACTTGCTTCAGTGCAACTTGAATCCTCACAATTGAAGCTTGAAGCTGGATGTAGCTTTTGTATTCTCATCCCAAAAGGATGCCATGAACTGGCTGAATGCCAACAGGCCTAATAGCCTAACAATCTCTAACTTTACTCCCTCCCTGCCATGATCGGTTGAGCCGACCTGCGCCAACTTTGGAATCCTTTTGGAAGGAACACTACAGAAGCTACAGCTGTTGAGCCTAGTAAATCTCCTCTCGGGCTTCATTCTCCTGTTTCCAGTCAGTCTTAGAACAGTATAATCTGCATGTTTTAGCTCCTTGTTCATGTTGTTAGGATGTTTAAGTTCATTAACTACATATATGCAGGAAAAACTTCAGGGTTTACAAGAAGACACGAAAAATAATTCAGGTAGATCCCACTGAAGCATTTGTTTGGCAAGGAAAACATATCTAATGAGTCGCATTCGTCGGCAGATCGAAATCTGACATCGAAAATAGTGAGAGAAGATGACAGATACGACCGAGAATTTTCCATACTTGGCTCCGTGGATTTCTATCCATTGACGAAGAGATAGATAAGCCCATTCAGCAAGGGCAGTGATTGCAACAGTGAGTCTCCTTTTGCATTTGGATCACATCATTCAAGGGCAAGAAGAAATCTGGATTGAGAAAGCTGATCTCCGTCAAAGTTATATCTGTAGTGGATTCAAAGAAGGAGCGTCGGCGCATCGGACCTTTCACTAATCTCGACGTTTTCTGATGCTGAGGAGTGAGAGTGTCACAGGAAAAGAAATAGAAAGTTGCATGTATAAGAAGAAGAAAGTTACAATAGTGCAAGTAAAGACCTCAATCTATTTATGTATTCTTATCTGCCTAACGTGAAAGACTGATACAAGATGCCACGCAAGGATTGGGTGGCTCGTCAGGCCCATGCTATCCCCACACGTGTGGACCAATCAACAAGCGGCTGTACAGTCTCCACAGCTGTGATTCAAAGTATGGAACGCGAGAGACGAAGGTTGGACGGCCGAGAACACCGCTTAAATCTGTCTATTTATAATCCGCCAGTGCAAGAAAGCTCTTCTCCATCTTCTCTCCAAGGTATACTGTTACTACTGTTCCCTACCTGTATGTAAGAGAGAGAGAGAGAGAGAGAGAGAGAGAGAGAGAGAAATGGATCAAGCAGGTCCAACAGAGTTTGTGGTGGGGAATGGAGTGGAAGCACTCAGCCTGGAGTCAGGCCAAGCACCTGCGGAGAGCCAGAAGCAGCAAGAATATGTGATCTCCTCAGCTCATGCTGTTGATAAAGGTTTGTCATCAACTTTCGATCGATACACACACACACCCCATGCATGTTTCCTTCCTTTCCTTTCGTTTTTGGCTTCCTACACCACTTCTCTCTTTGTGATCCCCTTCTGTGCAAGACATGCTTCATAGCTACAGTAGACCATAGATTCCTCGACAAATGAGTCTTTCTTTTCCTCATGAGATTCCTTGCAAGACCGGCTGTTTGACTTTGTCTTCATGGAATAAGTTTCACGTTTATTCATTGTTAAGAGTACTTCTAGATGTCTTTCACTGGCTTGGGGCAATTAGAGAGGTGCAGCAGCTGCACTGCAAGTTTTCTATGCTCATTGGTTGCTATAGTTTTGGAATTTTTGGCTTTTTCTTGTAGGTTATGTTATTTATTTTCTAGTCATGGATTGTTGATGCCGGCTGCAGATTCATGGCAACAAGTAGGGCTGATGATAGTGACTGGATTCAACTGTGCCTATGTTTTGAGCTTCTCCAACCTGATGCTGGTGCCTTTGGGATGGGCATGGGGTCTCACCTGCCTTGCTGTTATAGGAGCCTTTGCCTACTACGCAAACTGGCTCTTGTCTGGACTCCATGTTATCGACGGCCACCGCTTCATCAGATACAGGGACCTCATGGGCTTCGTCTTCGGTACTTCCCTCTCTCACTCTCTCATAGAATCTGCAGAAGAAGAGAAGAAGAAGAAGACTGCATGATTCTTCTTCACTCTTTAACTGGTGGGACATAAACCGATGGATGACTCCCACGCCTGTGGAAATGGGAGGCTTTTGACTAAAATGCACAGGGAAAGAGTAGTGGTATCATCTTATCATCTATATTAGGGCCAATAACATGGAACCTCGGAGTAAGTGGCCTTCCATCTTTTGAGGTTGAAATAAAGGTGATAAGAAAAAAAAGCTTATCTCTTCACGGGAACCTTTCCATAAGTATCACTCCGATTGCGTTCTCAAATGATCAACCAGCAAAAGTACGTCATTGCAGCCGATACTGTACATATTAGTCTTGGATTCATGTTCATAAAATTTAGCTGCCTGTCTTCTTCTTCTTCTTCTTCTTCACCAAAAGAGGATGAGCTTGAACATGGACCCTCTTACGGCAGAAAGATTGGAACTTTACCCTCCGGTTGGACTTCGATGGTGGATCATGCAGAGCGCAGTTCACTGAACGCCACCAATCGGTGCCTATGAATCACTGGGATTCTTACTTTTTCTCTTTGGTGCGGTTTGATGATTCGTTTCTTTCGCTTGTCCACAAGATCTAAAACCACTGTAGTCAAACATATCATTGCATGGGGCCAAAGCAATTATTTCCCTTTGGATTTAGTAAGCCATGTGATGCTAAGTCGACCATTACCTTGGAAGCTTGTGGCTATCTGACGCTTCCATCTTCCATCTTCCATGGCTTCTTCCGGGCTTAGGATAGTCTTTGAGTTCCTCATACCAATATAATATGAGCACTACTTGCTTTGCTCATAACCTCTTCCAATTTTAAGGCAATTTCCTTGTTTACCTGAGTGACCAGGACACAATTTTAATGGTGGACGTATCTAATATATTAAGATCAAATCTTAGAAAATCTGGCACATGATTTTGTGACAAAAGAGAGACCAAAACTAGAGAGGTGTTGCACTGAAAATTGCTGACAAACTTGTCTCTAATTTGCAGGTAGGAGAATGTATTACCTCACATGGTTCCTGCAGTTCATGACCTTGCTTCTTGGTAACATGGGTTTCATTCTTCTGGGAGGAAGGGCTTTGAAGGTATCTCACTTCAGCTGATATCCATATCAGAATCATGAGCATGTTCCTTGAATTTGTCTGTCTCCTCAAGTGGGAAACCTTTAGAGAGGCACTTTAACTTATTGTAAGAGTCTGTCTTGATCCAAAATCTGTCTTTATTTATTATACATGTAAAGATAGACATAGCTAAAGGAAGGGAGAATACATAGTTAAAGGTCTTTCATAGTTGAACTTCAAATATGATTAGCTTAATGCAACAGACTAAAAGAAGATGTTTGGAAGAGACAAAAGTTACACTGTTATTTTCTAGAGTAATAGTTCTAAGGGATCATGGCAACTCAAGTAGGCATGTTTGAGCAGATGCAACTTGAGTTTCTTTGCTCTAGCTTGTTCAAAGGAAATGGAGACTGTCAGATGTCCGATATGCAGATATGTGATCATGTCTTCAGCTTCCACTGTGATCAAGTATTCACTCGCTCTCCACTCAACCTTCTGCACAGGAGATCAACTCGGAGTTCAGCAACTCACCTCTGAGGCTCCAAGTTTTCATCTTGGCAACTGGTGTTGTCTACTTCATCTTTGCGTACTTTGTCCCAACGATGTCAGCCATGAGGAATTGGCTGGCAACCTCCGCAGTGCTCACCGTAACTTACGATGTCGTTCTTGTGGCAATCCTCGTCAAAGATGGTACTCTTCCCTTCCACCTTCCACTGTGTTTATCTGACAGCATGCATCTTACGTTGAGAAGCACAACTCAATGAAGGGAAAGCGAACAAAACCAAGGATTACAACATCCATGGAAGTGAAGTAGAGAAGGTCTTCAATGCCTTTGGCGCCATTGCCGCTATTCTCGTCTGCAACACCTCTGGCCTGCTACCGGAGATCCAGGTGAGGAAGAAGACCGACTGGGTTTGCTAGAATCACTGCTTGGCTATGCTCATTAGATCATCACTGTGCTACAGTCGACTCTGCGCAAGCCGGTCGTGGCTAACATGAGAAAGGCTCTGATGATGCAATACACAGTTGGCCTTGCAGTCTACTATGGCATCAGCATCGCCGGATACTGGGCTTATGGCTCCTCTGTTTCGGAGTACCTTCCGTATCAGTTGAGCGGACCAAGATGGGGAAATGTGCTGATCAATTCCACTGCCTTCTTGCAGAGTGTCGTCTCCCAGCATGTGAGTTTTGTTCTACCAATCCATTATCCGAATCATAGTTCGATCCCATGCCAAACTTTGTGCTTTATCTCCATGCAATCAGATGTTCTGTGCACCAATTCATGAAGCGCTTGACACCAAGTTCCAGAAGCTCGACGAAGGGATGTTCTCCAAAGCCAACCTTCGTCGTCGGTTCGCGCTACGTGCGCTGGTCTTCGGGCTGAACACCTTCGTCACCGCCTTGTTCCCCTTCATGGGAGACTTCGTGAACCTGTTCGGATCTTTCACGCTCTTCCCGCTGACCTTCGTGTTCCCCAGCATGGTTTTCATCAAGGTAAGGCAGCTCCTGATTCCTCCTCCATTATTCTTGCTCTCGCTTTCCCAAGAGATTCTTGAAGTTGAGGCTATCCTCGTCATCAGGTCAGAGGGAAGACGGCCGGGAGAGAGGAGAAGGCATGGCACTGGGCCAACATCTTCTTCTTCTCGCTTATGTCCATTGTGACAACAGCCGCGGCAGTGCGCTTGATCATACAAAACACTAGGATATACCATTTCTTTGCAGATACATGATCAGAGAAAGAACGACAACACCAGGATAGATAGTCAACCGTATGATGCAATGGTTTATGGGAAGGATAAACATGTTATTGCACCACCAACTTTATGTCTCTAAAGCAACATATAAATTGTGGTTTATGTTATAAATTGTTTCTTAAAGATGATCATCAAATCTCAGTTTCGTTCTGCCAGTTTAGATTTCTTTTGGATTCGCACGCATCAATAATAATTAATTAGAGCTCGTGAGAATACCATTGAAGTTATCTACGGTTTAGAAGACCATTGAAGAATTGAGCCGAACCGGTAGACCGGAATGCGTTCGGTCGATAGCGAACGCCTCACGGGTTCACGGGTTCACGGGTTCAATTGCTGTGGAATCCGGTCCACAGAATTGGGAGATCTCTTCTTGGCTTACGAAGCGAACGAGCATAAAATTCCCAGCTTCGCTCCCGAAAACATCCACCGTTCCGTCCCTCGCCAGCTTTCTTGCTTTCCTCATTCATCGGCGTGATCTGGAACAAGATCGATCCCTGGCCCAATTACTTGCCAAAGGTTTAATTCTTTTTCCTTATGTCTTCGTCCTGTTTGCGTCCAAGAAAGCGATAATTGTGCGATTGGTTGATGTTTTCCTTCCTTTTGTTGCAAAAAGAGACCCGTAAGGAATGATCGTTGATTTAACCATTTCTCGCGCTAGGTGGAACATGGTTAAAATGTATTGTTATTCTCCCCCAATTTACGAAAGAAAGGAGCAATTTTAGCTGGAAGATTATTTTCACATCTGGAACTTAATATTCAGACAAATTTATTTCATTTGTGCATGTTGATAGATCAGGTAATTGTTTTCTTTGTCAAGGGATTATTCTTTTCAAGGTAGAAATTGTTGTAACAAGTGAAAGGTGAGTTCTCATTATGTGAACTCTGCCAAATTTTCTTTATGCCCTAGATTAAATGTTGTCACATTATCCTTTTGAGGCAAGAATTAAGAGACTTGTGATGGATAGATGTTGCTTCTGTCAAGGGAGGTCATTCATGTTTATCAATTTTAGTACCAGATGCTATTGCCGCCATAACACTCGGTCGAGAAAATCTGAAAGCAAAATAAGAGGAAAATTAATTGAGGGAAATTTTAATCAGCCCTAGACTTAGTTTCTTGTTAGAAGTCTGTTGGTGGCCAATGCCAGGGGTTTGGTTCTAAGTTCTGGTTTCTTTTTTGGTGGCCAATCCCAGAATCCAGCATTATTACGGATCATTCCTAGTTTTGAGTTTGCCTTGGGCACCATAGTCACTTCAATTTGTCAGCTTTGTCAATCAGTTCATTCAGAGCAGTTTTTATTCTTAATTCAGATGCAATTTTTTACTGTGATGAAAAATTAACGTGAGGACCTCTCAAAATTCATTCCTGTCTATTTATTTGATTACTGCACAGACAAAAAAAGTTGAATTATTAGACTATCTTTTATGTTCTTGAAAAATGAGCAAAAGTGGACATATGGTCTTCCCGTTCTCTGCACTTTATAATGGATTTACTGTTTCTGTGGGAGATGGAAGATTAAATTTGCTTTGGGTGGTCCACACTCATGTTGCTTACATCTTAAAATCATCTTTCATCAATGTAATAGAGATCTTAGCTGATCAAGCTCCTCTGCGTTTAGAAACATTACGTATCATGGTAGCAATCGCATGAGCGTCGTAAGCATCTTATATTTATTACATTTGCATTGTCTGTTTGTCTTCTCCGACAACACACTTTAGTTTATCTTTGCCACCAGGATTGAAGTCATCCCATTGCTTTTAGGAATCATTTGTTTTTCTTATATTTCCTTATTTGCATGCATTCAATTCTATGTTTGATGCCTGTGTTATCATTCATTCGCTTTACCTAATCTTCTCTTTCGTGGTTCTGTAGAATGGATACTCAGTATCTTTTATTTACGCAGTTTATAATTGATCATGAAAGTTTCTCAAAAGAAAAAAGAAGGTGAGGAAGATGTAAGAAACAATACATATACTCTTTAAGTAAAAATGGCTGACCTGATCATGATTTTCCTTGTGTCATTTTGCATGTGTGATAGTGACTTATAAGATGGAAATGGCCCTTAAGAAATAATCATAAACATGGGTTCGACTAGTCTTAATGTTAATCTTTTGCTACAGCTTGTTTGCATGCTGACATGCATAGCACATTACAACTATGAAGTATCACTTGTATGACCTTAGTTTTTCCTCTAATCTCCTACTGAAATGGTAAGACCTTCTGACCTTGTGAGTTATATTTTAATTTTGTTAAGAACCTAGACTTTTTCACGGTGTAGTTGTACTTGTTTCATATTGCTACTTAGAAGTTTATAAATATAATTATTGTGCATTCAGATGCTGTTACATGTTTAATTTTCTCTGAACAATACCTGTTGCAGAGATCCTATAGGGTCTGCCCGTGATTTGCTACAACCGGCTGCACAAATGGCTACTTTAGCTGGATTACAGCCTCTATTCTCCTTTGGGGTTATATCAGATGTCCAGTATGCTGATATCCCTGATGGTCACTCATTTTCTGGTGTCCCTCGATACTATCGTCACAGCATGCAAGTGTTACAAAGAGCCATAAGTAAGTGGAATGATCACAAGAAGCTCCAATTCTTGATGAACTTTGGGGATATTGTTGATGGGTTCTGTCCCAAGGACAAGTCACTAATCACTGTGCAGAAAGTCGTGAAAGAATTTGACAGATTTAATGGTCCCACCTATCATATGATAGGCAATCACTGCCTTTACAATCTTCCACGCAGCAAATTAATCTCATTGTTAAATATGCCCTCTGTTCACGACCATGCATATTATGACTTCTCCCCATGTCCTGGGTATAGGTTTATTGTTTTGGATGCCTATGAGATTAGCACAATTGGTTGGCCATTGGGTCACCCGAACGCATTGGCAGCTATGCAGATTTTGGAGGCAAAGAACCCTAATTCTGATAAAAACAGCCCAAATGGCATGGTAGGCCTTGAGAAAAGATTCTTGATGTTCAATGGTGCTGTTGGGAAGGAACAGCTGCTTTGGCTTGATGATGTCCTTAAAGATTCCACCAAGAATGAACAGAAGGTTGTTATATGTTGCCACCTTCCTTTGCATCCTAAAGCTGCATCAGCCAAGGCACTCCTGTGGGACTATGAAGAGGTACTGAATTTGATACACAGCTATAAATGTGTGAAGGCTTGCTTTGCAGGTCATGATCATAAAGGTGGTTACACTGTCGACTCCCATGGCATTCATCATCGTGTTTTCGAGGCTGCCTTAGAGTGCCCTCCTGAATCAAATGCATATGGGTATATAGATGTGTATCATGACAGACTCTCTCTTATAGGTACCGACAGAATGATGAGTACTGAGATGATTTTCAACTAACTAGGAACAAGCAAAAATATGGAACATATCCTTGATGATAGTTTTCCTTGTTTGAAGGATGAAATTTATTTAATCATGCTTATTAACAGATTCCAACTGTAAAACATATATAATTAATAAAGATGTCCATGAAAAAAGCTTAGTCATTAGCTTTACCTTGTTCAGATAATTATTATTATAAACAAATATTTGTAAACATTTCAACATTCAAAATAAATGCATTCTTCGCATTCCACAATGGACATGGCTGTTTGATTATTGTCATCTGATTGTTATGCTTGATATTGTGAGGGTGATTGCTCTGGTGTTCATTTACTTGATTTTGTCGCTTGACTATTAGTTACATGCGGTATGTTTATTATACTCAATTCAAGTACAGGTTGAGCTAAAGACTTTTTTTTTCCTGTTCTGTGAAACAAATATTGTGGAGGACAAGGATGTCATTATCAACTAATTTAGTTCATTGTCTGCTATGAAGTTAATCAGAAGATATATAAAGAACTGTTCTTGTTTTGCCATAGAAAGAAGATCATAGTGTCAGAATCTCAAAGCTAAGGCTTCTCCCATAAATTTGTAGTGCTTTATCATTTAACCTTATTTGTTTGTGCAACTAGATTTTTTTAATCACTGATTAGCTAAGTATTAATTGTTAAACTGCTTTTGCTACAAGGCATATAAAGTTTCATGTTGAAAGAACCTACTTTACAAGAGTGCTATTTAGAATTCTCTCCCATTACAAATGTCTAAAGAACAAACCAGTGCATGATTCCATACCATCTACAGTTAAAAGGAGTAGCACATATATACAAGAAAAAATGACCATGAACATGTTTATTTAGCACCAGTTTGGTATCTAATCTTATAGGAGTAGGGTTATATTTTATTCTTTAATCAAATTAAAGAACTGATGCCTGGTAGCTCCAGAAGAGGTCATAGAACTTAAGCAGCATTAAGTTGTTTATGCATGACTCCAGCAACTTGAGCTTAAATTTTGATTTGCATGGAAGCCAACTAAAAACAACTGATGGATGATCCATCACTTTGATGACTTCTTTAACATGGGATCAACAAGTTCTGCGATCTAAAGATGCTATTGCACTGGTCAATAATCAGAATGCACAATCAAGAAAGACCACTATAATATATTATTCCCTGTAATTTCCCTGATACAGATGCTGGTACTTATAGCAGCTGACAACACCTTCAATAACTACAGTTAAGATGCCACTGCAGCTGTGCTGGTTAAATAAAACAAGCCTTGGCTGCAATGATACAAGTCTGCAGAATCACCAGCTTGCCTCACAGGGAAAGTTAATTCAAATCTTACAAATCATCGATGCACCATATGTGTTTTCTAAACTGGCTTCCTTCCATTATATAGTACTGTGTAGAAGACATTCTTACAAGGAACATAGGACCTGGCATCTCCACAACCTATCAATTGTGCAACAATGTGCAGAAGATGTTTTACTGCTTTAGAACATAGATAAAAAAGAAGTTTATAACGGAATTGATCGAGGAGTAAAAGAATCAAAAATTTATTAGTCCGTTGGATTATCTTTATCTTTAAAGGTGTTTTTTGGGATTTACGATTTCTGAAAGGATAAAATCACATATGACTAAAATGTTAATCCTATATTAGTTTAGTTGAGAAGTAGGAGAACGAAAGACTTATAAATTCATCGGGATACATTTTCCCTAAAGATGTGAGATGATGAATCCAAATCAAATGTTAACTTATATTGAGATTCCCTAAAGATGTGAGATGATGAATCCAAATCAAATGTTAACTTATATTGAGATTTGACGATGATGTGGATCTTATCATGTTAATTGCAAAATCTATAAGCTTTGTTTGAGATTAAATTTGATAAGATTGATGATTAAAATTGGATAAAAAATCTCAAAGTTGGCAAGTAGTAAAAATCTCCTAATAATTGCTTGCCACTCAGATTATTATCCAACCCTAATTGTTGATCATGATTTGAAATGATGGTAGTCAAGTTTACATAAGAATGAATCAAGAGAATAAGAGTTAATAAGAGAATATGTTAATATCGAAATTTAATTCTTTTCTAATTAATCGAGAGTACCCATCGACTCAATTTTGACCGAACCGGGTTCGCGTTTGACACGATTTATTCGGGTCGGGTCCAACTTAGCCCATTACAGTCGATACTGTATCAGTCCACCCGACTTTATTACCTGAACTATTATTGCAGAATTTATCGGGCCCAGTTGGGCTTACGTGTCAGTCATATGCTTTCTGCAATAAGGGGGCGGGTACACGACTCGGGTCGGTCTTTCAATTGTACGAGAAGTCTCTTTAAGTATGATCACGCGCCGGCTGTTTCATGGAATTTGCCGTCTGATTTTTATATATTATTTCTTGCTGTCGCTCGTCGTTCCCTTTGGTCGTCCTCCATTTATTGTCAGTCAACAGTTGGCTCGCCCAATCCCGGCGAGATCATAAATCCCTTACCCTCTTCTTCTCTCCTCTCCGTCCCCTTGAGATCGCATCTTGCAATCGAATCGAAGGCGGTGGGTTTGAGACGCAGCGAGCGAGGGACGCTTCCTGCTCCTCGAATCGATCTAGGGTTTCAGATCTGCCGCTTCTTGATCCATCTGTGTAATTCCTTTGCCCCTTTGTCTTTATCTTTTGTACTCCTCCTCTTCTTTCGTTAAATCGAGGGCCTATTTCGTTCATGTTGTTTTGTTTTGTAAGAGAAAATCATCTCTGTGCTTTCTTGATGGTACTGTGCAAGCTGTTCGAATGTTTGTCGATCGACAGCGATTTGTTGGGCACCATGGTGGAGAGATCCGTTCTTTAGTTACCCTTCTTCCAGGTACTTCAGGGGAAAACTTGAACGTGCCGGCCAAATCGGATTTCTTACACGGATAAAGATTCTTTCGTTTCTTGAAAGAACGGAGAGTCCAAGTCGGGTGCTAAAGATCGACTAATCTATGGCTCTAGTGGTCATCCAAATAACCCTTTCGAAACCCTAGAAGCCTCGTACCCGCTCCCAGGTTTAGCAAATCAGCCAATATCATCTATCTTGAAAGAACGGAGAATCCAAGTCGGGTGCTAAAGATCGACTAATCTATGGCTCTAGTGGTCATCCAAATAACCCTTTCAAAACCCTAGAAGCCTTGTACCCGCTCCCAGGCTTAGCAAATCAGCCAATATCATCTATCTTGTTGCTGCTCTTTAAGACCTGTCACCGCATAATTATCTGCAGTTACTGAGTCTTTTAATTTGTCCTATTCTTGGTTGTGAGAATTAAGTTTTACCAAGTTCCAGTTGAAATTATGCTGGTTTATCCATTGACAAGTAGCTTAGTCTGACAACATCATTTGGCATCCTACGACTGACCAAGTTTCATGATAGCCAAATGATGATGACCAGCAAACTTTGACAACTTGTACAATCATTATGCTTTCTGGTACGGGAGTAAGGCCTGGGACTTGTATGTAGTTTGTCACGGAGCTTTCACTTCCATCAGGCTCCGTCCTACTTTTTTTCCTTGTACTCCTGTTGATTTGTCAGCAAATCATGGTTAGATTCTTTACTATTTACAAAGAAACATTGGGCAACAAGTAGGATATGGCGTTATTATTCTGGTGTTCTAATAGGGCTGTCCTATATCACAACATGAATTAAGATTAGAGATGGGCATGAAATGGCTTTTGGAAGTAAGTTGGTATAAGCTACCCATGGCTTTAAGCTTTTAGAGAATAATTTATTATAAAATATAAATAACTTGATGTACAATATATTAGTCCAGTGAAAGTAGTATGAGTTTCTGTCTGATAAGTTTTTAATATGGATCTGCTTATAAAAGATGGTTCCAGGCCTTCATGTTTGTTATTATGTAATATTACCATCATATTTATATAGTTTGAGAAAGATGCTTCAAAGTAAATTCAGGAGTTTGAAGATTTACATAAAATATGACAATTTTTTTATTTGATTTTTCATTATTTAACAGCCTACCAGTTGGAAATTTGCTAGACCAAAGTATTTTGGTTTCTGTCAACAGTTCAGAATTTTATCTCTAGTGAATTTCTTTTCTAGTTGTGACCAATATGATATGATCTGAATGCTTAATGGGAAAAATTAGCAGGATAATTGTTTCTCTCTATGTCTCTCTGTTATTGTGGAATTTTATTTTTGCTGAATCAGCTTTATATTCAACTCAAATAGTTGGTGCTTCCATAAGAATACTTGGGATGATGATGTTCTATTTTTTTTACTTATATGATCATAGATTTGTAATTATTACTTTTTTAACTAAAATATGTCTGATAAAATTAACTTTAATTGCAATACATGTCAATGTTTCCTTGTCCATGATGTTTTTACTGCTTGCTTACTTGGTGCTGAATTTTCATGTCTTCTCTAATAAACCACCGAGTATAATTTAAGCCTATCTGATGGTTCCTTTGCAATATTCTAAATCTTTTTCTTACACTTAGTTTCGTGATGCTCAGGCTGCCGTTGTTCATATTTAAATTGTGATAACAACATCATTCATTATCATTATCCAATGATAATTATGAATCTACCGAACAATGTTAAGCTGCTTTTGGTTACAAGTATTGTTGGGTCTTTGTGATTCTAAAGTTGGAAGACATGGCAAAACTTGGATTTGGTGGTCGCAGGTACTATAAAATCGTTTGAGATTTGCATCTTTTCCAAAAAGGTTTGTCTTTATTATTGACATAACATCTTGTTTAATTTCATCATGATTGCAGCGTGCTTACAAGAAAATCAAATGAGAGTATGAGAATAATTATTTCAACAGTCATTGGAATTGTGTTAGGGTATTTGATAGGTATTTCCTTTCCTACAGTTAGCATAACGAAGGTAAAATGAACTGATTCATTCATCATTTTCTTTATGGGTATTGTAATCTGATTCTACCATAGGAGGTGATATTTTTTACCTGTAAATTTTGCAGCTTCACTTCCCTTCCAGCATTGTATCATACATTGAAGACAGGAATTCAGGCCTAACAACCCAAACTTTATTGAATCACGCTTGGGATTCAGCTAATCGAAATAGAAATAATTCTACCTCAAACACTGATGATACTCCAAAGGTGCTTTGCTTCTGTACCTGGTGTACCATGCAATCTGTGTTTTACAATTTTGATGATATTTTGTACTTACTGTTTTGATTTATTCATTCTTGTAGTTATAAATACTTATAGGAATTGCTATTTGGTATGATGAAAAAAAAAGAATGGTGCATGGGGTTGTTTTTCTGTTTAATTCTAGTTTGGTTCGAGAAGATACTGTAATTTGAGAAGGTTGGATTCAGAAGGATCTTTAGTTGATATGAATTTTTGAGACTATTTGTGGTTCTGTAGAATTTTCCAATCATGTGAATGAAAGAAATGATATTGCTTTGTGGTTGTAGGTTTAGTTGACACAACTTTATCTGATGTCATGGCTTTTGGATCTTTTAGGATTTGGTAATTGAGGGGTTAAGATCTGCTGCTCGCTTATGTAATTTGTAAATAAAACTTGGAATACAACGAGTCCAGCTTATCTTTTCTCTTAATAATGCCTGTGTATTTGTCTAATAAATTGAATTTACTAGTAATATTCGGGAACCCTTTTTTTTTGGTACATGCTTGTTGATGATATTGTTTTGGTATATGTGTCATATGGATTAGCTCTAAACTTATCAAAGAGAAACTTTTAGAATTTAAAATATGTCCACATATATCATGTGGAACTTTAACAATACCGAAAGAATTAGATAGACAAGAAGTTCCAAGTAGAAGTCAGAGATATCTCAAGTTTAATATTTAACAAAAATGGAAGATCGATGAAATACAGAGTTTCGGCGGGATATTAAAGTAGAGAGGTGCATTGAGTGTTATGTAGTATATTACAAGGTGTATATATCTCTGACTTCACCGAATTTAAAAAAATAATAGGAAAGGTAGCACATAAATGGATGCTTGTGATTCTCTTCCTCTCCTCTCTTTTTTGTCGTTTCTTCTAGTCCTTTGAAACTGAAAAGAAAGGTTTCATTGCCCAAATGGCCTCATCCTTTGCTTTCCTTTTTCTCCTCTTGAGCGATGACTCCCTGTATGTTCGTTTCTCCTTGTACCTTTGCTATATGGGTCTTTATTACACTCGCACATCGAGTTGCATCCTTTTTACACTCACACATTGAGTTTCTTCCCTTGCACCCTTACCATGTGCAGCTCTTGCCATGTCAAGCTGTCTTTTTAACACCCAAGCAAATAGTTGCAATAACAATGGTAAAAAGAAGCAACAAGCAAAAATATATGTATTTTGTCTGTCATTTGTATATCAACTTAATAAAAATTCTTCTAATAGGAGGTTTCTTGGCATCTCAAGGGCAATTGCTGTGAATGCTCATGTTCATTACACATGAGATGCCAAGCAACAGTAAATTTAACGGGATAATACATCTCAGTCATAAACTATAAATGTTCGATAGTAGTATGCCACTCCCTTTCAACTTCAGGTGTCAAAGTGCAAAAGATGCAGTAATCTTGCCCCCTGCTGGAGTGGGTCTCGTCTTTTTAGCTTCAAGGGGCCAAAGATGCAACAAGTATGACATAGAGCAGCAACCTAAAAAGTGCTAGGCTTATGAGTTTGGGCAGATAGGTGGTGAAAAGAGGAAAAAAAGACGAAACAAGGGCAAGAGGATTCAATAGAACACAGTCTATTCATGAAAATCTCAAATCAGACAATGAAGGAACACGTGATGCAAACTTAAACACATACTTAATGGTTTGAGGAGCGAGAAAGACACCGATTGATAATGGTTTAATTCCATTATATTTTCATTAATTTGGGGCTTGATGGATTATGTATGGTTGAACAAAATTCTAGGACAACGGGGATTCTAGAGGCTTTAGAGATTATATAGTAGTGGAATTTAAGTTGTAGGATGTTTGGGAAAAGAGGGGGCAGAAATTTAGAAAACTAGTAACTTCTGTGGCTCATTCTGAGTCCTCAACTCATTTGTGTGGGGAAGGTAGTAGCTTCATTACTCACTTTTAAAGTGGAACAAGGAAACTATTCATTCATGGAAAAAGAAACTCATTCATTCTTTCTTCAAAGGAGATAGATTTCCATATTTGATTTGGAAAATAATTTTTAAATATTTCCATATTTGATTTGGAAAAATAATATTATTTTTTTGATGTTACATCTGATTGGTAAACTTTCATCAATATGACTGAATTTTCAATTGGTATTTGTAATCTTAAAAAAAAAACAAGTTCTGATTTTTTTTCCATCTTTTTTTATTGATTTCTTTTTTCTTCTCCTTGGACAATCTAGATAATTGAAGTAGGAATTTGGTATTATTAAATAGGTTTCTGATTATTTAATTTTTTCTTAACTTTTTCCCTAAGTTTTTATGAACTATATATCTGCACTGTATTGACATGAAGTGGAACGAAATATTTTAGTATAGAACATCAACTTTTCCAAGTGGAATGACTTAGTATGAAACAATGAACTATGTTTATTTGAAATTTTGTTCAGAGGATATGTAATTATTTTCATCCTCCATTAATATTGCAGATTTATGTTCCTACAAATCCCAGAGGTGCAGAACGACTACCACCTTGCATTGTTGTGCCTGAATCAGATTTTTATTTACGCAGATTATGGGGAAACCCAGATGAGGTGGGGTAGTTGTCTGTAAATTCTTATCGAGCATATCTTGATATTATTGGCTCTGCTGTTGTCGCTGAATGTTCTTTTTTGTTTTAATATTTAAAGTGGTTGAGTTTTGGATGAAAATGTATATTCATAGGAATATTTGTGAGCATCCTTCTTGAAACTTAAAACATGTGACTATTAAAAGATATTTCTGCAAAGCTGTTATAAGTTATTATTTATTCCTTATGTAACCTGTATTCTTGATTTACATCATAATTCGTTCTTTTTGGATTGTTATATGAACTGAAGTCCCGCTGTTATATGCTTAGCATGATAGATGATTTATTCAGCTTGCGGAGCCTTGTAAATTGTTTTGCATTGGAATTATAATTGGATCCTTTGATCAGTTATGCCAGATGATATAATCAAATTTTCACCCTTAATTATTATTTCTGAGAATGATAAACTCAAATTTGAGCGTGATTTTTTTATGAGATGCATCTTGTTGTGAATCTATATGCTTGATCTTGATGTAAAACAAATGGACTTGACACATGGTGTAAAGTGTTCAACACAGTCATGGTCTCTGATTCCTTGATGCTGCCATGTGTTGCCATTCATCTTAGATAGCTAAATGTCTCTGTAGACATTCTTTTTGTGTTATAGACTTATATTTCTGTGCATCTGTTGCTTGAAATACTTGGTATGGTTCAGAAGGTTTCAATTTATTACTTTTTATGATTCATCTATGGTTTTTTTTATTTGAAACACCATTTATCAAATTGTTATTTGAAACACCATTTGGATAATTTTCTTCATATGAAGTTGTTTCATTGTTTGAATGAAATGTGCAGGATCTGATTGTACAGCAGAAATATCTTGTGACATTTACAGTCGGATATGAACAGAAAAATAATATTGATGCGGCAGTCAAAAAAGTGAGTAATCATCCATTGAATAAGGTTCTATACCACATTTTTTTACTATATTTGATGGTTCATGCTCTGATCCTTTTCAGAACTCGACATTAACAAGTATGGGTAAATATTTCTGAACTAATGACCCATTCTTGTTTCAGAACTAAGGAATTTATAATGGGATGGGCCCTTAGTTCACTTGGCTTTTCAGTTGTTTGGTCCTTTTATGTCAAATTGATAGCTGATTTCCTTTTCTTTACATTATTCTGTGAACTTCGATGCAAAGAAAGATGACCGCTATAGGCTTCATAATTGAATTTGTGCAAATTCTTCAACTTTTCTAAGTCTTTTCTGGGAAGAGGTGGTCATGTGAATTGTTTGGGTCAACATGCGACTTACGTTTAATTGCATGGATGTAGCTTTATGGAAGTTATCCAAGAGTAATGGGCAGGGAGATATTTCTCATAGTTCTCCATGTATAAGTAAGACACATCTTCCTAGTCTTTGTAGATCTGCAACATCTTGACATAAAGTACTTTTCCTTTACTGACCATGGGTACATGGAACATTCTATGTTATGGTAGGAATGTGGATACAACTTAGTGCCACATAGTTCATGTCACAGAGGATAGTGTTAGGTTCTTAGTTTGTTGGGTCATGGAATGCATTAAATTGCTTAGCTCGCCTACTGTAATAAGATATTTTGATCCACGTCAGTAGCTGTTCATTTTTGGTCAAAAACAGAGTTGTTAAAGAACCTGAAAATTGTGTTGATTTTTTATACCTTTTGTCATTTTGGGTTCTTTGATAGATTCTAGAGGAAAAATATTTTAAATGGAATTTTATTTGATTGATTTGTGTTTATGACACTTAAAGATTAGATCTTCAAGTCTGATTGATCTTTATTGCATAATGCGTGCAATCAAGAATGTAAATTTGGAAACAAAACCTGGTTCACAATTCCAGAGGGTTAAGTAATCACCACACTCAATTTATATTGGAAAAGTGTAATTAAAAAAAAATGTACGAAAGAAAAGCATTACTAAAGCTTGGGACATAAACTGTATACATTAATCCTTTAATGTATACATTGTCGTGATAAACCCAAAAACGGCTCTAGAACTAGAATAACAGTATACTTTCAACTGATCAGTCAAAAATGAAAGTCATAAGCAATCTTATGGTACATGTACTGGCTACACTATTGCTGTAATTATCAGAACATCAAGAATCGAAGACCAGTTGTCATCTAGTATCATAAATCAAATTGAATTAAATGCACATCCATCACAATAAGTATACATTGAGAGATTAGTATATGTCAGGCTGAATTGACAGATATGGATTTGCAAATAAAATTCAGAACGCAAAAAGGAATCCATAGTCAAAAATAGGAAAAATAGAAAAACAAACAAAATAAATACAAAGAAAAAAAAGGAATCCATCGACTCATAGTCAATGATGATTCGATTCATGTGGCCAATGTTTAAAATCTGTGTTGATAATGGTCAGTGGCCAGTCTGGTACAGTACTGATATGAGTCGGTATGCTGTAGCCGGAGGAGTAGATGGTGACACAATGGGGAGCGGCACTGTTTAACCAATACCAATTGAACCAGATGAAAACTGTGTTCCAGTTTGCTGTTGGAACAGTAAATATCAATCTATACCAATTTGTACACGTGTTCTTTTAAACATTGCATTAGGCTTCCATGGAAAGGATCAATTTATGCAGCCCTCTTTTTGTGTTGCGGTGAATAGAGGGACTGCTCATGACAAACATTAACATGGTATTAAGAAACGTCTTTTATTAAAGGAAATTTAATAAACATAAAAAATTCAAAGCAAGTTTGTTGAATTGTACAAAGCATGTCATCTGTTGTTTTATTTTCCAAAGTCAATTAAGTAGGTTAACCATTTAGAAACTTGATTGAAGCAAAATACTAAATTTGGAAATGAGCGTATGATTTACAGACCTGTGCTTGTTTCCGGAGGTTAGTATTTTGAATTTTTTTTAATAGCTGGGTTCACAATTAAGAAGCAGAAACACCTTGCAACAAAGAAGGGAAGCTCAGCACTGAGTCAGAAGAATTTTTTACATTTGTCTGATTTTGCCCCAAAAAAAGTAGAGAACAACACTAAGCCAAAGCCCCAAAGTGTGCATCCTTTATAAGGTGAATCCTATTTTTTATTGAACAGGAAATTATGGGGTTTGAAGAGGAAGTCAATGATCTCGTCATACCAAGAATTCTGTCATGCTGATGGTTTACTCTATTATTATCATTAATAATAGATTAACAATTTATTGATTATTCCAAGCTTCCAGAAATGCTAGATGATAACTAGCAGTCAAAGAATGAATATAAGACTTAAGGTCTTTAGCCATTGAATTTCTTAGTAAATGCCAGAGATGTGTACGAGAGTTTGTCTATTTCTCTTTTAATTCTGTTCTGTTCTTTTATAATAAAGGAATTGTATGGGTCCTGGTCCTGTTAAGAAGCTAATGAATTAGATTTTTGGATGGTTTTGAGCCTAGTGCTGTCTTCGATTATCCTTTTCATAAATGGAAAATGCTAACTAGTTAGAAAAACTTCCTATATTGTTATCTGCAAATTTTCACTTCAGTTGCATTATTTTGATAATCTTTGTTGCAGTTCTCAGAAAATTTCACAATATTGTTATTCCATTATGATGGTCGAACTACCGAGTGGGATGAATTTGAATGGTCAAAACGGGCTATTCATGTGAGTGCCAGGAAGCAAACTAAATGGTGAGAAAATGTTTCTTTCTCCAAGTTTATTGTTTTATTTGTGTACTTTTATATTATATGGTTAAAAATTTGTTGTCTATGGTGTCTAATTATATTACTTCATTTAAGGTGGTATGCCAAAAGGTTCTTGCACCCTGATATAGTGGCACGATACGAGTACATATTTATATGGGATGAAGACCTTGGATTAGAGCATTTTGATGCCGAAGAGTAAGTGCAGGATCTCTTCACTGACAAGTCCTTGAAAGGTTTCCTTTAATTGGAGTCGTTTTTCTTCACTTTTTAGGTATATTAAATTGGTAAAGAAGCATGGACTAGAGATTTCACAGCCGGGTTTAGAGCCAAACAATGGTCTAACATGGCAAATGACCAAAAGGAGAGGTGACCATGAAGTCCACAAGTAAGCCTTTGAATCTTTATTCCTAGACAAAAAATGTCTACCTGATAATTGTGATGTTGTTGGTTTGAATCTCATCTCGATCAACCTTTGAGTTTATACAAGTTGTGGCTTTATTTCCTAATAGAGAAACTGAGGAAAGACCAGGCTGGTGTGCGGACCCTCATTTGCCCCCATGTGCAGCGTATGCAGTTTTAACTTGACCCTGCATTTGTGCTTTTTACTCAGAACCTGACCACTGGATACTAACCATTTACAGGTTTGTTGAGATAATGGCAACCGTATTTTCTAGAGATGCATGGCGTTGTGTTTGGCACATGATTCAGGTAAGAGTCAATGATCCTTTGTGTTTCGCGCCATGTGCTGTTTGTTGTCTTTACTATTCCTTGTGTGTGTACATGCAGAATGACTTGGTTCATGGATGGGGCCTCGACTTTGCTCTTAGAAAGTGTGTTGAGGTACACTGCAGCTTTTGTCTTGTCACAAAAATTAGTCAATGGGGAAGCATGAATGTTCTTTTGCATGCTCTACATCTAGTGTGATTTCTTTATATCTTGTTTGATTATTTTTTCTGATACTGGTGATTTTGTTTGATTATCTTCATTGTCCTACTTTCTCAACTTAGCCGGCTCATGAGAAGATTGGAGTTGTAGATGCTCAATGGATTGTTCATCAGGTGGTTCCTTCACTCGGAAATCAGGTAAGAGGATCTTGATGTGACCAAATGAATGTCTTCTGAAGTTGTGACTCTGTCCTGTAGGCTTTATTTGACTTGCTGTTCCTTTATTTTTCAGGGCCAGGCAGAGAAAGGCAAAGCACCATGGGAAGGGGTTAGTGAATTCTGACCACTATATGTGGGTCATTTTTACCATTACATGCTGCGGATATGGCTTAGCTGATTATGTTCTAACAATTTCACAGGTTCGAGAAAGGTGCAGAAAAGAGTGGGCAATATTTCAAACACGGATGTCGGATGCTGAGAAGGCCTATTATCTTTCGATAGGGATCTCTCCCCCTAACTCAACGGTTACTTAGATTAGTGTATTAAATTAGTCCTGCACCGTTAAATCAAAAGTATTTATTGTGTTTGATTGTAGATAGATGTATTTTTCTGTACTTGATCATTTCTAGGTTCTCAAAAGTTTTCCCCTTTTAATATGTTAATCCACCGTTAGCTTACATATGATGACTGAAAGGGCATATACAGCAATGGTTGTAGCACAATTGCAACCACCTAAACGTTTATTCTTGCTAGGAACGTAGTCCATTTTTTTGTTCCTTGTTAAATTGGCTAACGATAACTGCGAGTTGCTTGACAAATTAAAGGATCACTGGGAATGATGGAAATCCAATTTGTCCGGGTCAAACTTTTTGTTCGGTAATTTTGTACAGGTAAATCCTTGAAAAAATGAAATTTGGCTTGTGCAGTGTAAGGTCTGTGTATATATGTATATTATACTATTATTGATGCGGCATCAACATCGTGAACCCACAAGTTTGATTTGGTCAAATCTAGATTTTTACTGCATAATGGCCTCACAGTAGATTGGTCTCTCAACTGAAAAGCATAATTTACTGGAAACACAAAAATTAAACCTTTAAATGATGCTTTAAAATATAAGGGGAATCTAACAGCAAAAATTAAATGAAACCATTATTGAAACATAAACTACTGAAAATCTAAAAACTGACATTTTAGGATTTATGGATGAACTGAAACTTCAGACATTGTAGCAAACTGCATGAATCGTTACTAGACCTGGTCCTTGATGAAGTGAGCCCAAAGAATTAGTTAATTTCAAAATGCTGGCAGTAAAATTGTCTAGATTACTTTAAGGATATGAATTTGCCTACTAAATTCTAATATAGATACTCCAGCTGTGATCGAGAAATCTGAATTCGAAGGCGACTGTAATCTGATCAATCAACATATCACCTAGATAGAACTCAAAAGTTCCCAAGGTTCTGGATCATCAAAACCAGATTCTAAATCCTTAAAACTGAAATAGTGATGCGACAGGCTTTAAAGGGAACCTGACCTATCTATCAGCTAGGAGAACGTACAATACTAAATCTTTTTTTTTTTATTTTTAATCCCATCCCCTCTTTTTTTCCTCATTCACCATTTTCAACCCCAGTACCAATGAATTAAGGCTTAATAATCTTAGTCCCCATCCAAAATCCTATTTCTGAGTTAGTACTTTAAAAACTGCCTAGAAGATCAGTACCTAGACACTTACAAAGATATAAAATTTCTCATAAATTCTGAACATTTATTGGCTGCATTCAATGGTATTTATTCTCTTTCTGCACGTGTCCTAACACCAACGATTGTGTTCCACAGCACTAAGACCACTCTTTACCCACTTCCTGCCTGCCTATATCAAAACAACCAAAAGCCTTCAGAAGTTTGAAGAAGAAGACTATCTTATTGGAACATTCCTAGAATAGGCAGTTATTACCGTTAGAACAGCAAAAATGGGAAAAAAAAAAAACATGCACTTAATACCAAAAACAACATATTATATATTGTATATATCATAATCCACATCTATGGTCGATGCATGAGTAACCCATTATAATAACCTATTGAGGTCCTAGATCAACACCAACCGCTTTTATTGCTTGAATTCCAAAATTGAGATCAATACATAATAGTATGACAACAATACCAATGAGAATAATAACCAAGTAAAAGACCTATTAACGTTGTAGAAACTACTATTATTAGAAGAAAACTAGAAAAAGTCTAATTCTAGCTTTTGTAACCTACATACTGTAGAGAACATTATTAGAAGAAAATTAGAAAAAATCATCAGTTATATCACTAGAACAAATGGGAAGTCGCAACAAGTAACATTTGATTGAACGATATAGGCAACTATATGCGAAATTAATAACGATTCAGCTATTCTAGTTAAAGATCCGGTGGATGAAACATGCAACAATTAATCAACAGCATTTCCTTCTCTAATTATTTCACCCTTGTGAGTCATATAAGAAAAGGGGATCATATATGAACATCCATCCATGTCTGCTATTTTAAACAAGCAGTTTTATTCTACTTCTAGTTATTTTGATGAAAAATGCATCAGACGCCAGATCCAAACCGTCATTTCTCGTGAAAAATATAGCAAACCCTAAACAACCAAACCAAACTCCGGGTGAAACAAACAAAGAAAAAAATAATCAAGGGCTTATATCAAGAATATGAGCCGGTAGAAGCCAGATCCTTCGTTCACGCGAGAAATTGGACCAAGAATTAGAAACGAAATCAGCGCTTCAAGAAACGGGTAATTCGCTTCAAAGACATCAACACTTCAAGATCCTGAGAGAGTTGTCATCATAGGAAATCCGAAGAGGCCAATCAAGAAAACCGAGAATTGGAGCAAGAACTAGAACGAAACACCGTAAACTTCAAGAAACGGGCGATTCATCTCAGAGAGGTTGTTGCCTCCCTCTCGAGACACCAGCAGAAGAAGAATCAAGGGATGACATCAAGAATGAACCAAGATTCTTCCCTGCATGCAAAAGAACTCGAAGCGAGCAAACATACAATTCCACGGTCATTGAGAAACGGCGGATTCACTTGACGGGCGTTCATTCCTCCATCTCGACGGATGGCGTCGAAGCAACTGCGAGAGAGATTCTTGACAACGTGGTAGGCTAGGGGATCGAAGTGGGAAGAGATGAGAGGAGGAAGGGGACGAAATAGGAGAGCCGAGCGGAAATAATCGCCATCAAGAAGAGGAGGTTACATCATCCCTTCCCTACAGGCAGAGAGAGAGATAACGGCCATAAATGAAAGATGGTTACGATCTGAAGGGGGGAGCGTTTTATACACGTTATGGGTCGCAACTAACACACGCTAATTGGGTCTGTACTTCTTGACGCTTCTGCCGTGGAATGAATGGTATTCATTACGATTCCGAGTTTATGGTTGGATGAAATTTCGAATGTAATGACTAATCCGCGTGTATTCAATTTAGACTAAATCAGTTACATCAGGTCGATTATAACGTAAAAGAAGATATTAAATGGAATCTAAAAAGAATACAAATTTAATTTTACTGAAATTAAATCACAACAAATGGAAACAGAAAACTTTTACGAAAAGCATCTTTTTCTAACTTTATTTTCCTCGTAACTAAACGTTGTAACAAAAATTACAACGTTTAGAAATACTTCCTTCTATCTCTTCTTCCTGACGAGGCAGACATTAGCAGGTTGACTCACAAGATTCCCAGGGGCACTTGAAAGGTACAAGAAGTATACAAAGGCTTCACAAACACCTTGCGAGCGTCATTGATACACTGTCATTACCACTCAAATAACAATTTGTCATTAGCCGCAGCATCACAAAGTCACTGATGATTCTCCATCCACCAACAGAAAAAATAGAAGCAACAGTTGCTCCTTGAAAAAGGAGTTCGAGTGAACTCCGCAGCTAGGCAGAAGAACACCGCCAGAAACTTAGACCGTGAGCTTCTGGGCAGTGGCGGTGTCCATATGCTGGAGATGTAGTGCAGCTAAAAGACCACGCCAGGTTTCAGCTGGGCCACCGGTGACTTGTACATCCAAAAGCTTCTTCTGCTTCCTGTAGTATTCTTCCAGCAGCTGGATCTGTGGAAAATGTTAGAGGTCAAGAGCCGCTGAACATGTCTATGAGAAAACATCCAGGAAGTTAGAATATGTTGTGTAATGTTTGAATGGAAGGAGTAAATTTTTTCTTTAAAAATTCACTGAAACATAGAAACTTGTGTATACTATTTATCTTGTCAGAAGGATGCACCAAGCTATGCAACAATAAAGAAAATTAGAGAACCACAATGTGATTATAACAAATCCCAATGACATGTGCTTTAACGCTGAACGGCTCACCTTATGATCTGACTTCAGAATGGATAGCTCGTAGTCTTCCTAATTACCAGTGAGAAACCAGAGGTAATAATAATCAGTCAAATCAAGTTGGCTCTACCCACAATGGACACCATCCCTGACCCTAACATAACCTATCTAACATTTAAACATGTGGAACTAAAACCGATCTAGACCTCAAAACTTGACTCATGCACATCAAGAAAAAAAGGCAAAAAAGAATAACAATAATAGTTGTTTTTTGAGGAATGAGAAAAATGAGATGGCATGTGGAGAAGAGTGACTTGAGGAGCTACAGATACGTGGACAAATGGAAGCAGTGGCTAACAGGAGGCAGAGCAAAGCAATGCTGCAGATTAAGACAGATTCCAGCAGAAATGGACCATAGTGAATATTGAAGCATTGAGAATACATGAAACAAAAGCATAGAAGATAAGCTAAACAGGTAGGTAGTGGCACTTTAACATCTAGGGAGGTGATGGCAATTAGCTAGAAAGTGAGTCGGAATAAAAGATCAAATAAGTAGAAACAAGACGGGAAAAGAGAGGTCAAAGGAATGGGCAGGAAAGGAAAGGTGAAGCTCAGATAAGCAGAGGAATTAGATTAAAAACGGTACGAGGACTGGAAAAGAGGATGAAACTAAGAGTTAGTAGCACTATCCTTTTTTTAGAGATCTGACTTGTCTATTAGAAGAATAGAATTGAATCTATACATACGTATACATATATGTACACACGCACATATAGAAAACTTGCTGGAGAATAAAGATTGGTTAAGCATCTGCGACACATACAGAATGCCCAGTCAAGGGATTAGGCCAGAAAAGGAAACAAGTCAGACTCATGGGTTTATATCAGTCACAACCAGTAGTATTAAACATCCTCACACGTGACAATTTCCCATATAGGTTTATGCAACCATGTGGCTGCCAACATGGTCGGAAGATACAGCCTTGTGTTCTTATCCATGGTCAATGTGTCTGGATAAAACTGTGGGCTAAACAGAATCCTCCATAACAAGTCCTCGCCACTCATTCCAGAGAGCAGAGTTTATCAATTAGCAATCACAACTATGAACACCTGACTGGCATAACAGGATGATTTACAGGAGACTGAACAGTTTACATCCATATCTTGGAAAATTTCAGGATTAAATAACCAAATCACAAGGGGATCTATGGTCCACCAGTAACAGGTACTTGGGGGAGATGAGTTGGTTTCCCTACACCATCCAGCTTATTCTTTGCTTAGGATGTCAAGTTGTCAAGCCCCTTGATCATATCATAACAAGGGATGGCAAAT